CAGGGACCTCAGAGGTCTTCTCATACAGCCCTTCCACTTTACAGATGAGGAAACTGAGGATCAAAACTGGGAGTGGATTTGCCCAGGGTCCCCTAGGCCGGAAGTGTCGGGGGCGGGATTCGAACCCGAGGCTCTGCCGCCTGGGGAGTCTGGTGCGCCCCGCCCCCTCGCCCTCTCCGGGCAGATGAACAAACCTTTGGGCGATTCGTTATTCAGCGACTTGACCGTTAGTCGAGCAGCTCCGTTGCCCAGCAACTCTGCCCCGCCCATCCCCGTGCAGCCTCGCGGGAGCGCGCGCTCTGGGGCGGAATCAGCTGCGCCCCACCAATGGCGGCACGCGGTGGAGAAGAGCGAAGGGGGGAGCCCGGAGGTGGGGGGCCCGCGCGAGGGCGCAGGCGGGTGGAGAAGGGAGATGGATGGAGAGGGGAGGAGGGAAGGGAGAGGGGAGGCTGCGCGTGCGCGCTCGCCTACGCAGCCACGCAGGCGCGGGAAGGGGCGCTCGGCCGGCGGCGGCCCCCCGGCGGCGTTGGGGAGCGCGCGCGCGCGCGCGGCCCCGCCAGAGCTGGCGCGGGAGCGAGCGGGCGGCGCTGGGAGGAGTGAGCGGCCGGGTGGGCGTGGGTAGGGGCGGGTGGGAGGCCCAGCGTGTGTCCGGGAGGAGGGCGGGCCGCGCGGGCGCCACGTCCGCAGCCCGAGCCGAGCCCAGAGCCCAGAGCCGCCGCCTCCCGGCCCCTAGGCCGACCAGCGAGCGCCGCGAGCCGCCGGGCCAGGGCCGCCGGTGAGTGCGGAGCGGGGCGGCCGGCCGGGGCCTGCCTCCCCCCCGGGGCGCCCCGTCCTTCCTGGGGGGGCCCCATTCCTCTCCCGGGGGCCTCGTTCTTGTCCCCGTCCTGGGGGATCCCTGTCCTCTTACCCCAGGGGGTCTCCATTCCTCTCCCAGGGTCCCCGTTGTTCTCCCCATCCTTCCCCAGGGACCCCTGCCCTCCTCCAAGAGGGTCCCCGTTCCTCTCCCAAGATTCCCATTCTTCTTCCATTTCTCTTGGGAGATCCCGGACCCCTGGGATCCTCATCTCTCCCCTGAGGGTCCACATTCTTCTCCCCACCCCTCCCGGGGACCCCTGTCTTCCTGCCCCAGAGTCCCCCTTCCTCTCCCGGGGTCCCCATCCCTCCCAGGGGACCCTTATCCTCCTCTCAGGGGGTCCCCATCCCTCTCCTGGGGTCCTCCCCTTACCTCCTCCATCTAACTCCCTTTTTCTTTTCTTTGTAGCTCCCTCTTCCTTCCCTTTGAGGGTACTCCATTTTTCTCTCCATGTGTCTCCCCTTTATACCTCCATTTTCCCTTCCGAGGTCCCTCATTTCTGCCCTCCCCTGGTCTCCTCTTTCTCCTTCCATTACCCCTTCTGTGGGTCCCCCATTTCCCCTCTCGGTGGGGCCATCTTTTCCCTCTTTATTTCCCTTTCTGTGGGTCCCCCATTTCCCTCTTTCATGGGTCTCCTTTTCCCCTCTATGGGTTCCCATTTCCCTCTCAGTGGATCTCCTTTTCTTTCTCTGTAGATCCCCCATTTCCCTTTCAGTGGGGTCCTCCCTTTCCCCTTCTATTGCTCTTTCTGTGGGTCTCCCATTTCCCCCCTCCCCGGGTCCTTCCTTTCCTCCCCTCTTCCCCCCTCCATGGGCTTCCTCCCCATTGGGCCCCCTTTTTTCCAGGCATCCTTCTTCTCTCTTCTGTGTTCCCCCTTTTCCTCCGAGCCCCCACACCTCCCCCTTTTTCCTCTCCTTATTTCCTCTACTTCCTTTGCAGACTTTGAGGGAAAGAGTGGGGACTAGTTGGGTTCGTACACCTGAGAAAGACATTGCCTGGGAGAGGGGCAGAGGAGAAGGTGCTTGTGCCTGCTTTCCAAGGATGCCGGCAGGACTCCTTGCCCCCTCCAGAATCCCTCTGCCTAATGGGTTCTGTTCCCCTTGGCCATTGGGAGAGAGCCTATCCCCCCTCCCCCTAGCTAGGAGGCCTCTATCCTTGTGACTCCTGCAGACACCCCCGTTTGAGGGTAGGCAACGTGGAGGAGGAGGTGCCACATTCAGCTTTGGGTCATTTTCTGTACCTCCTGCCACGTCACTCCCTTTCCCTGAGAAAAATAAAAGGCATGTCCAGGTCTCAAAGAAAGAGGGGGAAGCCAGAGGAACCCCTGGGTTCTAGAGTGAGAGCCACCTTGATTTCATGTGTTACCGTGTCCCCTAGGAAGACGTTTTGTAGAAACTGGTGCGTTAGTCACCGATGAAAATAGTCTTTCATTGCTATGGGTACAGTAGTTACTGATGTTTGCTCTTGGTAAAGGAAAAAGGTGTATGGGATACCACCTGAAATACTTATGTGCCTGTGTACCATCTTTAGAAAGAAAAGGACCTGGAATGAGGCGCCAGACATCCTGTAAAATAGATGGTTTTTTCATTTTCCTGACAGGTATACTTTAAAAAAAAAACAAATTGATTTAAAATCCATGTTGACACGTTTTTGGTAAGAAACGCCATCATGTGGACCAAGGAATAGAGCTGCAGACCAGATAATCTGCTCCTCTGTCTTAGTGTGGCAGCCACTGATTGTTAGAAACTAGGAAGTCTTTATCTTGGCTCGTATCGGTTATGATTAGGATACGTCTGCATACTTTAAGAAGATGCCAGGAGGACTTCAGAGCTTTGCAGTTTTGCTCAGTAAATGATTAAATATATAGTTAAAGATAACATTATAAAAGTGGATTGTCAGCCTGGTGCTTGCCTCAGTATTCAGTCCCTTCTGCAGCAATGCTCTCCACTTTCCTTCTTATCCCTCACTCCCCCTACTCAATTATCCTTTTTCTCCAGGCTGGTACTTTTTAGCATCAGACTGTTATAAGACTTCCATCTCACCCACTGTTTGCTGTGGAATTAGTGGGCAGGGCCACCTTGGAAAGCAGTCACAGCCAACTGAAGATGGCTTACAAACGGGGGGCTTTCAGATATGCTTTTGGAAGGTGTGGATGTAGACAAGCTTTGTAGAAATGTCTTGGGAAAGAAAGCTCCTTAGTTATTTGGTGAAATAGGCCCAGACTTTTTGAGTGAAGGTCGAGGCAGTGCCTGTAAATCTAGTACTGATAATTCCATTTACATTTTCTTATACAGAAAAACTGGCAGTCCCCGTTTCATAGGCCCTGTGGTCTTGATACAGGTTTTAAATCGTACCTGCTGTAAATAAGCTATTGCATTTTCTAGCCAATACTTGTTTTCCTGAAGAGAAGTGATACTGGTAGGGAAATTCGTTTGATTCATTATGTTGTTTTCATACATAATTATTTTTCTAAAGCATAGTTTCTTTCCTGATTTGAATTGGGTAGAATTTGGTAAAGTTTGTTGAAGAAATTCAAATTGACTTAACCATTCTCTACCAACATCCTTTTCTCTATGAAAAAAACCAAACCACAACACAAAACCCCTAACAAAAAGGACAATTCCCAAGAAGCCCTTGTTTACTGATTCCTATTATTGGAACACATTGCCCCCTAGGGTGTGGTAGTGGTCTTTCTCTCTCACCAGATTTGCAGATGCGTTTCTGTCCGGTTTGGCAAACCTTTCCAGCAAACCTCCACATCCACAGTCATACTTCCGATGACATCTCTCCGCCAGTGCTGCTCACCACCCATTCATGTCTTCTCATTCTGTTCCATTCTTATCCCTGGCCTTCTGTAGATCCTGCTCATTTCTTTTTACATTTAGAGGATACTGGTGTTGAAATTAGGTGAGCCCACCTCCTTTTCTGGTAAGTGTTTTGTCCAGGGTCACTTAACTGTCGGAGTGCCCAAGGCACCTCTGGAAGACTGGAAGTCTCTTAGAAGGTGCTGACCGCCTTGGGTGGAGTTCTGCTCTGGAAGCTCCCTGTGCACTTGAAATCAGTTGTCCATTTTTTTTTTTTTTTAAGAAGATGAAGTTATAATAGTTTGTCCATATTTTAAGACATAAGGTTGGAACTAATTATGCCACAGGGAAGACTGTTTTACACATTATTTGTACTTATGTTTGTATCCCCAAGACCGATTGTAAGTGAGAGCTTCCATGTGCCCTTAGTAAATTAAAGTGGTTTTTTGCATTTCCCTAGCTGAGGCCCAGCCCTGAGTCTCTTGGATCTAATCGAGGCATCAGGCTAAGTTAAGTAAGGAGCCCCAAGCAGAGAATGTGGCTTTTGGGTGGCAGAGTGGGGACAGTTATTCCTCTTCTGTGCTGAAATTATCTTCCAGAAAAGGGGGCAAGCGAAAACTCACCCAGAAGCCTGTGTGTGTCTCTCTGTGTGTCTGTGTCTGTGTCTGTGTCTGTGTCGGAAAGAAGTTCAGGGACGGGGTTTAGGCTGGTTCAAATTTAGGTTCTTTGAAAGAGGTGAGTGCGGATCCACCAGCTAAGCTTGGTATGCCTCTTACACTTCAGTTCAGAGAAGAATGTGTCCCAAGGGGCTGTTGCTTATCTACCCAGGAGTGGTGTGTTCAAAGTGAACTTCTTAGGTCAGGGGCTCTTAACCTTTTTTGTTTGTGGTGGGACCCCATTGTCAGTCTGCGCCTACGAGCTCCTCCTAAGAATCATGTTTTTAAATGCAGGAAATGAAAGACAAAAGATTGCAAAGGAAGCCTATCATGTTGAAATTAAGTCAGCAAGAATTATTTTTTAAAAACCAACTTCACGGACCCCTGGTTAAGAACCTCCAAATTAGAGGAATTTAACATTAGATTTGTTTTTGGTTTCCTGTTAATTGATATGAGAATGCCCAAAGCCTAATCAGTGTGGTTTAAAATACTGTGCTCTCTAGTGGTGCTTGTAATTGTGTGCAGGATGTAGAAATGAGAGGCAAAATGGACAGAAACCAGCCTACTGTTGGGTTGGAGAAGAGAGTATGGAAACTGTTGTTATCAATTTCTCATGCTCTAAACTCACTGGTTTAGGAACCTAATATTATCAAAAATTTTAAAGGTAATTGCCTGAGTGTCACAAACTAAATGAACCATTTCTGGTCACATTTCAGTATATGTGGGTGGTGTGGAGGTGAGCCTCGGGTGCAGCTCTGCTTCTGCCACTGAGGCCTGTGAGTCCCGCACTTCAGGCCTCAGTGTCCTCATCTCTAAAATGGGTGATTCTTCTCGTTAACCTTTACATTTCCTTCCAGTTTTAAGGTTCTGTGTTCTTTGTAATGAATGGCTAGGTGCTAAAGACACAGAAGCCTTTATTTGGAAGAGGCCAAGCTGCAGAAAGAAGGAATCGAGGTCAGAATCGACCCGGCTTAGTCTGTGACCTCAGACAAGTTACTGAAACTCTGTGAGCTCAGTTTCTTCACCTGTAAAATGGGAATAACAGTACATATGCTTCCTCCATTATTCTTAGTCTGCGTTGGTCACGCTTCCAAGTATGGCAGCAGAAAGAAAGCTAGATGGGGGGCAGAAGGTGGACCTATAATGGTAGCTCCTACTAGCCACGTGACCTTGGACAAGTCGCTTGTTAACTCACCTGTAAGCTGAGGGCTTGTTCTAGGTCATTACAGTTGGTAGCATATGGGGATCCTGGGTAGTGCTTTACCCTCAGACTTGCCTATCATTTAAAAGCACACATACAGAAGATTAAGGGTGGAAGGGATTCAAGATGCCAACTTCTTTCAATCCCCGCAGCTGAAGAAACAGCTGTTTGCAAATATCTGGAACACCAGACCCTTGCTCTGGCACTTCCGCCCCACCTGAAACCCACTGCACTTTTTGTGTGTGTGTGCAGTCAGGTTTCCTGAATTCTTATTTAAATCTAAATGCTGACTGATATTTGAATAAGCAAGGACTTAGGTAATTTTTATCAGCCTGGTATCTGCTTTCCTTTAAGGCATCCCCCGGGTATGTTGGTTTATGTGCAGAAGGGCAAGACAAAAAAGGCCCTTTCTTTGGTTATGTAGGAAAAAGAAAACTTTCTGAGTGAGGACTGGGATGGAAAATGGGGTGGCTATGAAAGCCTTTCTTTAAAACCTCAGGCTGCAGTGCATGTGAGCAGGGAGGGCTGTTGGGGGGAGGAGGCTGGACGTGTGTGTGCAGAGGCCCGGCCCTTGGGCCCAGCCGAGGTCTGGGGAGGAGGTCACTTTGTACACCTCTCCTTTTTACTTAGGCCAGGCTGGCGGGATTTAGCACGGGCGGGCATTTGCTCATTTTTATGATCTCTGTTTTACGTCTTGCAGAAATTACAAAGGTTAGTGACTCACGCCGAGTTCAGGCGTGGTTTTCCTATGGACCAGGCATTCACTTTAGAACAGAGAAATGTTCCCTTCCGTAGCCATAGACAGCATTCATGATCTGCCATCACCCCCATCCTTGGTCAAAGGAGGGCCCCGACCAGAACCCAGCTGCTCGAGTCTGTGTCCCTTCCTTTGAGAGTGGCCTTGCTCTGAATCAGGGTTACACCATGGCTTCTGTGGGGGAACCGTCTCCATTGTCACAAGTCAGAGTTTCTCTGTGCCTGAGATCAGTGCCGTCAGACTCAGAAGCAGATAGAAGACCACAAATTAGCATCCCCATGTTGTATTTTTATTTTGTTAAATTTTTCCCAATTACATTTTAATCTGCTTCTGCCATATTTGGGAGTTTTGTGGGTCCCAGGGACTGAAAAAAAAGCCAAACAACTCATTACCTGGGGGTTCTCCTTTGATGAGGAGCCTTTCTGAAGTTCACCAGACTTCTGTGTAAATGAGAGACAAAGTCAGTCAACAGGCATTCATTAAGCATTTACTTTGTTTTAGGCTGTGTTTATTAATAAGCGAGGCAAAGAAAAAGGTCTCTGCCCTCATTGAGCTCACATTCTAATGGGGGACACATGTGGCAACTCCTCCATAAATCGAGAGACGTGCAGGATGATTTGGGGTGGTGGCAGAGGGAAGGCGCCCAGACTGAGAAGGGCTGGGAAGGTGGGGTTTTACCTGAGACTTGCAGGGGGCCAGGGAGACCAGCAGGCGGATAGGGGGAGGGAGAGTGTTCCAGGCGCGGAGGACAGCCCATGAAAATGCCCTGGGTAGGAGCTGGAGTGTCTGGTGTGAGGACCAAGGAGGCCCCTCCACTGGCTGTCAGGCTGTGGTGGGCAAGGAGGGGTCAGAAGACCGGAAAGCCAGAGGTCGGGGCCCGGTTACGGCGCGCTCTAAAAGTCCAACAGAGGATTTGATAATTGATGCTGGAGGTGACAGGGCGCCCTGGGATTTACTGAGGGTGGGGTGGGGAGGTGGCATGGGCAGAGTGTGCTTTGGCACAGTCAGTCTGACAGCTGAGTGGAGAGGATCAAGATGGGGGGAGCGAGAAAAGGGCATTCGGTTTACTTTGTCAAGTAAGATTTTAGGATGGTTTTCATCTTAGTTGTGGTGTGGAAATCATTTTGAAATAGTGTTGGTCAGAGGAGAATGATTACCCTCATTAGAGAAGGCACCAGAATTTTCACCGACCAGCTTGTCTTTTCACTGTTCCAATTGAAACACACTAATTCTCTTGATGCTTTGGACAGAAAAGGATGAATGAAGAGTGCCATGTAAAGCATTGTACTAAGTGCTGGGCATACCCATAGAAAAGGGGGAATGTCCATGCCCTCCAGGAGCTTACATTCTAATGGGGCACAGTACCCAGGGAGGAGGCGTCAGCGGCAAGTCAGACAGAAGTCAGTGGTCCTTAGGGTTGTGTGCAAAACACCCAAGGCCCAGCGTCCGGGCTGCTGAGAGAAACACGTATTCAGACATATACAGGTTCAGAATATCCCAGAAGTCTTAATGCGTTTGAAGCTATCCCAGCTTAATATCCAGCAATTGGAGGAGGGAAATGAGACCTGGCAACTGGAGGGATCAGGGAAGACTTCCTGAGGGAGGAGAGGATTCTGATTTGTGCCTGACGGTTGTAGGCACGATTAGGCACGAAGGATAGCTTGTGTCATTGTGGGTGCGGGAGCACCTGAGAGTCTGGGCTGGCTCCTAGTCCCTGAGCGACAGCAGAGAGAGGCGGGGACTGTGTACTTTTCTGGTCTTGGGCCTCGGGTTAAAGCAACTCATTGTTCACAAAGTATAATAATTAAAAATCAGTGAAACCGATCAGCCATTGAAAAAAAACCAGACAGCATGTACACACAGCCACTCCTTGGACCCTGAGGTGTGCCGGTGAGTGGCAGAGGGACGGTCTGGCCTTTCTGGTCTGGGGCCGAAGGCCTCGGGGGGCTGGTCGGAGGGCAGGAGTAGGTTGCGCACAAAGCCCGGTTCATTTTACGTTGTCTCTAGACAGCAGGCTCATTGTGCCGTGGCTTGTGTGGCCTCTTCCAGGTCAGTGGGCCACTACTTTATTTACAGTTATTTGCTTCTACAAGGAGTGTCGCCAGCCTTTGGTGTTTGTGGAGCCTTGCTGTTGTCAGTTACCTCCCTCAGTTAGAGTGGAGTGCATAGTGCAATCTCTGGGTATGGACGTTTTAATCATTTTTTTTTTTTGCGTAATTTCAAACTGCTTTCCACAATGATCATATGATTTCACAGCTCCACCAACAATGCATTAGTATTCCTGTTTGTGCATAAGCCCTCCAGCATTGACTATTCCACTAGGTATAATTTAAAACATTTCTTAATCACCAACATTTAAAGTGGGAAATAGAGAAGGGTGGGTTTTCATCGAGTAGGTGGCTTAAAGTGTTTCGTAAATGGATAGAGCTGATTGGTTCTGAAATGTGTTTTCACAATACAAGATCATAGCATAATGCCTATTGTATATCTTCCAGGAGACCATGAATCAGACGGACAAAAACCAACAAGAAATTCCTTCATACCTCATTGATGAGCCACCAGAAGGTAACTATGGCTTCAGAACCTCTAGGGGAGGGGGTCTTCATGGTTTTAGCGCTTCCTCCGTGGACCCTGGTCAGTCCGTTCATGCCTCAGTCGATGGCCAAGGGAAGCGATGGGTCCTTGCCTGCGGACTGACTGACCTCTAGAACCCTTGGCCATCTCCACACCATTCTGAAGAGTGGAAGCGTTCACTCCCTAATCGGTGTTGGATCTTTTACATTTTAAAGTAGCTTACCTAGTTGCTTCATCCCAGTGTAACCAGAGGTGTATTTGGTCTTGTGATAAGAAAGCGCAGCTAATTTAAGAAGGAAAACGCAATTAGTTATAGGGGCTGGTGCATCCACAATGTCTTGTGGCTTACCGTACAGTTGCCAGGGTCTGTGATTTCTCTGGTGCCACAGATGAGTAGGAAAAGTCACAGAAGAATATTGTGGCTCGAAGTTCCACCAGAAAGTCAGCCGGCAAGCAGAACACGAGAGGCTTCCCTCTAGCTCTGCCCTTCCTGACCCACAGTTGGTAGCTGTGTCTATTGCGTGGTTTGCGCCTTTGGGCTCTGCTCATGTTCCGTGTCTGACACCATCACATGTATCATGGAGCATCTTCTTTTATTGTAACTATACCTTCACTTCCTAGAATAATCTCTAACAATATAAATTCTATGCATAAATTCCCTTTGCTATACCCAGAAAAAATGTTAGCTTTTGCACCCTTTTTCCTAATGGAAGGAAACAATAATGTGGATAATGCTAAATGCTGGATAATCCACTTGGGGATCTCTTAGCCCAAAAGTCTTCATTCTTGGAAAAGGAATCAGATAGGGAAAGAGAAAAAAGAGAGTGTGGTCTCTGAATTCATTTAGAGGGCTCCCTGTATCCACTCCTTCAACTTTGGAATTCCTCATATTGCAGTAAGAAGCAAAGATGAGATTGTGGGGAAGACGCCTAGCAATGTTTCTTTTATCAGGTTTTTAAAAACTGGCCAGGGTGGGGATAAAGAGTGGACCGTGACCTCATACACGAAACTCCCTGCGCTAAAGCAGGTGGCACATTCTGAGGGGCCTCGGTTACCGTGCCTGGGGCACTACGAGATCGGTGACTTGCTCTAGGTTTCACGGCCGGTCACTTGGTATCAGAGGAAAGACCTGAAATCAGGTCTTCTGCTTCTGGGGCCAGCTCTGTATCCATTGGGGCGTGCTGTCTCTTCTTGAAAAAGTGTTGGGTTTTTTTTTTTCTTTCCTAGCCTAGAAGGAGAGAGAGAAGATTGATCAAGTTGGCTGCTCTTGCTTAATAATGATAACAGCTGACATCTGCATAGCACTTTATAAAGTGCTTTAGGGGCAGATCTATGTTAAGTTTCTCAGCAGTCTCAGGAAGTGGGCACCAGGACTTTCTAGGTTCAGAGAGTGAGAGACTTGTTATATAGCTAGTAGGCCTCAGAGGCAGGATTTGAACCCCGTGCCACACTGCCTTCCACTTGCTTGTGGAGGAATAGACTGAGAAGTCATTAACTCAGCTCCTGCTTTCCTTCTTCAGCTTTTTAAAAATTAGATTTGGACAAATGGCGGTGGAGTAAATAGTAATAAAGGGAAAGATAGGGGATGCCAGGGGATTTCCACTGAGAAAACTAATGGACTTTGTGAAAGCAAGGGGAAGAAAGTGATGATAAAAACCCTGGCCAAGGGACCATGCTGGGCAAGGAGGGAAAGGGGGGGGGGGTTGTGTGCAGCATGGGTAATTCACATGTCAGTGATGGGGAGTTTTTTTATAATTCACTATGTTGAGGTTATCAATGTTGACCTGGTTTGATTAGGAAAACATATTTCAGTCTCTCACATCTCCTAATAAACATAACAGTCCATGCTGGGAATTCTCAGTGGAGAGAGATCACAAGTGGTGAGACCTGTTTCATCTTGAGACCTAGACTGGTCCTCTGTCTTCTCTTAATACCAGTCACCCTTCTTAGTTCCAAGGTAACTGGCTAGGATCATTCTCTCCCTCAGCAATGTAGTTTAGTGCTGAGTAATTCAGTGCACACTCCCTGGACCCGGGTAAAATATGTATTGCCCTTCCTTGGGATGGATCAAGCAGTTTTAACAAGAAAACTTGGTAGACCGGACTACACGCAATTGTTTTCATATATGTGCTGGTCTGAATGAAGAAGATTTTTCTGTCCATAGCAGTGAGGAAGATTCTTTAATAAAAGATGGGGTGGGTACTTCAGGATGAATTTGTTCTTACTGTATATCAGACAATAATTATTTTCAGAATATTTTTCTTTTTCTCTGGTGAGTAGTATCAATTTCCCAAGAAACTCTCATATCTTTTTTTTTCTTTTCTATTCATCTCATTTTGTTAAGGTAGTAACTTTTATAAAATTCACCTTTCTCTGGACTTTTGAGCATAGATAAACAACGTGAAAAAAACATTTGCGTAGCCTTTAAATATCCTCCTGGTGTGTGTGTGTACACACAAGTGTATGTCTAACAGAAGTAAAGCATACCTTTATCTGAGCTGTTGAAAACAGAACATAAAGGCAATAGGGAGAGAAGTGGTCACTTAATTTCTTTAAGACTTACTGTTAGGTTTCAGGCCCTTATTTATGGGCACGGCATGTGCTAATTTGACTATTTTAGAAGAAGAGTAGGGATTGTGGTCCATGTGAGTCACCAGACTTTGAGAGTGGCAGGGGCCTATTCATTTTTTTAAGTGAGGAAACTTGTACCCAGATTGGGGCTGTTTGGGGTAGAGGGGGTCCTGGTGAATTTTGCCCCAGTGTCATGGAGTTATAATTAGTGGCCTATTTATATCTATGTGGCTTTTTTTTGACCTTTGACTTCCTGGATGCCAAGATCCTCAGAGCAAAGTTTGTTCCACAGAACGAAAGCAGGGGTGGGGAACCTGTGGCCTCGAGGACTCAGTCCAAGGGCTGCACTTGAGGAGCTAGACGGCCACACGTGGCCTCGGGGCCACAGATCTCTCTCCCCAAGCCCCGACCTATAGCATAACCTGAGAGAGAGAGAGTTTAGCTCTCAGACCTGATTGAAACAGTTCTAGGAAACTACCATAACTAAGTCCTGGAAAATGTGATTATTTTATCCAGCATTATTAACCCTCTTAAAGCTATTAATACATTACTGAGGGAGAGAATGATCTGAGCCAGTTATCTTAGAACTAAGAAGGGTGACTGGTATTAAGAGAAGACAGAGGACCAGTCTAGGTCTCAAGATGAAACAGGTCTCACCACTTGTGATCTCTCTCCACTGAGAATTCCCAGCATGGACTGTTATGTTTATTAGGAGATGTGAGAGACTGAAATATGTTTTCCTAATCAAACCAGGTCAACATTGATAACCTCAACATAGTGAATTATAAAAAAACTCTCCATCACTGACATGTGAATTACCCATGCCGCACACAACCCCCGCTTCCTTCCTTGCCCAGCATGGTCCCTTGGCCAGGGTTTTTATCATCACTTTCTTCCCTGTCCCCTGTTATCAAAAGTTTAAACCTAAGTACTGAAGTGAAACCAGCTAACAGCCCCCAGCATGGGGCCTCACTGCATATGCCATAAATGTTTGTTGGATTGGATGTCTCAGTCCCAGGGGGCTTGAGGGGCTTTGGTTAGAAATTTCTCTTTTATAAGTATTAGGACTCGGAGAAAGGAAGATGTAGAAACTTTTTCAACTCATTCAGCCTAGATCTGAAAGGCATCTGTTGCCAGAGTATTAGAGTATGTTAATTGTGGTACCCTGAAGTCAGAGGTACAGGCTTATCTATAATACCTCCGGTCTTAATGACAGCAGGACAGCAGGCCTGCAGGCTGACCCGAGTTTTGGATTTACCTAATAGTCATGTATGATTCCTTTTAAAGACACTGACTCGGGCGCTATGCATGTTTTCTCTCATTAGGTTCAGTGAAAGACCATCCCCAGCAGCAGCCTGGCATGTTGTCCCGTGTCACTGGCGGCATCTTCAATGTGACAAAAGGAGCCGTTGGCGCCACCATTGGTGGCGTGGCTTGGATTGGAGGGAAGAGTCTGGAGGTGACCAAAACAGCTGTTACCACAGTGCCTTCCATGGGCATCGGGCTGGTCAAAGGAGGGGTGTCTGCTGTGGCTGGCGGAGTCACAGCCGTCGGGTCTGCTGTTGTAAACAAAGTGCCCTTAACGGGAAAAAAGAAAGACAAGTCTGACTGAGAGAGCGAGAAGGACGAGAAGAACGGGAAGATGAGCCTTGCCCTCGGCAGCACCACGAGGCCAGTGGCTTTGAGCTGCCAGTGTGGGGACTCCCGCCTCGTGGGGATGTTTCTCTTCTCAAGTGCAGTGTTGGAAGTATCGATGACTTCCTTTCATCTGAAAAGAGAAGATGCCAAGACTCTCACCGTTTGTGAAAGTTCATCAGACTTTGATTCCAGATTTTTAACTGGTGAAATGTTACACTCATTCAGTAGTAACTGAAGGTATAGTATGTTTCAATATTACTGTAGGTCTTTCAGTTCAGTTAAAAATGTGAAAATTACATTTAGTGGATAATCTTTGCCGTTCCATCCATCTGATAATGTGCCAGGGGACTCATGGCCCTTAAGAGAGCTGTAAACTCTATAAACTGTACCTTTGATGTGCCTAATAGTTTTGGATGTCTCTTAGTTTTTAAAAATGGTATTTCATTTAGGCTAAGAGGCATATTTTGCTCATTTAAGCTGGTAAGATAGGAATTGGAGATGTTAAAAAGTAAACTTTTATGTGATAATTTCTGAGCGCTAACTATCCTTTGTTAGATATGCATTGTGTTCATTTAATCATTGATGCCTTACAAGAGGACGTGTTTTCTGATGCCCTAAATAATCATTGCAGTTCTTAGCTTTTGACTATTTCAGTCCATAAGTGAAATTAAGACTTTTTTCATTTAAGAAAAGAATCTCAGGAGTAAAGGCACCTCTTGTTGCCAGCAGATAAGAAGAATCCATTCTTTTATTAACCGTCTGCCACTTAACCAAAAAATGTAAAAGGGTAGACAGATCCATATTGAAGCCCATGTTCCACAATCTCTGGAGTAAAGTATACCTTGTAGTGCCTGAAGATACATTTCTTAGCTGTTCACTTAGAAAGTCATGGTGGATGAATTTCTTATTAAGAGGTGTGATATGTGTGACAAATAACTTTTATAGTTCTTTAAGGATTAGCTGCAGCAACCAAGATAGACACAGAATTCTTCACTCCTATTAAAAAAAATCTGTAAGGCCGGCTTAAATCACAGTAGCACTACCACCAATTTTTAAGGACGTTGTAAAAGCAACAGTTTTTGAGAACTGCTTTGTGACTCTCCAGGTGAGCCTGAGGCATGAAATGGGTATCAACGCTTCCTTTCAGATTTGTACGTACAGAGTACAAGATACATTCTAGGCCTTATAGACAGAGGATTTCTATCATTTTCCTTTCCCTTTTTTTCTTTTAAATTTTCAGCCAGTGAATGATATTCTTGTTAGTGATACATTAGTTTCACACATCATATAGTCTACTCACTGTGCTTCTGTCTCCCACGAATGAATGACTTTTAACATTCACTGTTCTCACAAAATTGCATTTCATGAAAACCATCTGTTAGATGTTATCCAAGAAGATGATCACCTAGATAAGTTTTAACAGTTATCTCTACACTCAGATCTGATGTTCTGTCTCGAATTGTTGCGCTTTGGTCCTGAGTGTCCAAATTATACTCCTCAGCCACGCTTTGGAGGTCATGTAGTGTGTTCAAGTGATGTCCAAGGGGACTTGAGCCAAACCACTTCAAGATCTGGAGTTAAATGTTTGTTTACAGTGAAGTAGTTTACCTTAGTGTGCCTCTGCACATAGCTTGAGGATTGTGTTCCTTAATCCTTAAGCTTTTTTTTTCTTTTTAAGCTCTCATCAGCACCATCATAGTTTAAGCGAATCTAGAATGTTCCATGAAAACTCTATATTGGACACTGTTAAGACTGAAGTAGCAAGTTCAGCCCAGTCTATCAGGTGTTAAAATTGCTATGTGGGGACTTAGGATGTACTCATTGGTTACAACTTTCTTTGCAAGCACCATAGTTTGAAAAGCAGTTGGAAAATGTGACATAAACACTATAGGACTGGCTAAAAAACAAACAAACCCTATATTGAAGAATTTATTTCCTGCTGTTTGGGAAATTCTTTTCTGCTTACCTGGTAGTTTATTTTATTCCTAATTTATCTTCTGCAGTCATAATCTTCAATGCTTTGTACCTAAATTTCTTTTACACGTAGAATTTTAGGATTTTTTGCATATTTATTTTCAATTGTGTTTGTCTCTAACATTTTCTTGCAGTAAAAAGTGTTGACATTTCCTTCTGTGGAAAAGTCACCCCCGTGTCTTATGTGCTATGTTGTAAAGCTTGGTTCATGTGCCAAGCTTCAGGTGTGTTAAGTCATTTACGTATGTTTTGGGGAAGGGCTTCCAGCCAACAGTGCGAGGGCATGATCAGTGTAGACGTCTTGTCGGCATGAGCTTGCCGTTGATGTGTACGACTACATACTTGATGCTTTATTCCAATTTATTTACATAGACTAGCAATCTGACCCATTAAAGAGGTGGAGCTCATTTCAAGAAACTAAGGACATTATCCCTGGAGGCATCTGTCGTTTGTGATTGGATGGCTTGAAGAACCCAGCCTGGTGAAGAGGCCCACCCGAAGGACAGACAATCATGTTCCAGTGGTGGTGTGGCCACCGGAACATCATGGATCTGGGACGGGGGGACTTGGGAACTGCTGATGGAATCAACGTTTTCTACAGAAGGTGATGGGAAAGAGAACTTGGATGAATACAGGAGGAAAGCACTCTGATCTGCAAAAGAGGAAATGTTTCATAAAGACAATAAAATAAAGAGAATTTCAAAAAAGCTTTTTAAGGAAGACTCTTTTCTCTAATTTGGGCTTTTGCCAGCATGTAGTATCCAATATTGTCATCTGTTAACTTTGGGTCATTAAGCCATGCAGATCTGGGGATGATGTGCTTCATAATGGGGGTTTTAAGGAGACGGTATTCTCATTCTCCAAAACAGTAATATTTTGGTCCTTAAGACTGTCATTAAGGAAGAGTAAGCCCCTTTACACCCAGGAAGGCCTAGAGTCGACTCAAGGAGGGATGGTTCCTCCCCTACCTGCTCTGAATCAGAATCACCAGCTTCTACCTAGTTTCTTTAGGAAGGCCCAGATCATTGAATCAGATTATAGATTTGGAGAAGAAAGGGGCCCACGAGGTCATCTCGTCCAGCTCCCACCTTTAACAGATGAGGAAACTGACAAAGAGCAGCATAGTGTTCAATTAACCATTCATTCACCTGTTGGCTGCTGGTATAGACAGTGGGTTGTGCAGGGTACACCTTGAGCTACTTGGAAGTTTTCACTTGCATTCATTTATTATGGCAGTTAATTACATTTGACCACAGAAATTAAGTCCGGTAACATAAAAGAAGCGTAGGGTGAAATTATCCTTTGTTTTTGAAGGCATAATTCTCCAATAGGCAAATCTGTTGAAGCTATTTCTCTTTTAGCTAGTCATACCTGACTCTTTATGGGATGAAAAATGGACGGAGAAGTATTTATATTAAAGGCTTATTACACACCAAGCAAGCACCGGTGCTCAGCACTGGGATAAGCACAAAAGTCAAGGTCATTCTTGTTCTCAAGGGGCTCCCATTCCCAATGGTTAAAACCACATATAACGGATGGTTTCCATTTGGAGACTGAATGGAAGGGCCAGGTGGCATTACTTATCTTCCTGCTGTAACAATTTTTAAAAACAATTATCTGAGTTTCCAAACTTCTTTAATAATGTGTAATAATCCAGAATGTGTATCAGGAATAGGAGAAAGAAGAGTTGATACAAGTTCCCTCCAAAGGACAGATGCTAGTACGGCCCTGTTCTGTTACCTTTGAATATGGAAATTTCTTTCCTCATGATCTTTCAGTCAGAAACACTGACCTAGGAATTTTTCTTCCTTTTTAGACCATAGGCTCCTTGAGGGTAAGGATCTTGCCTCTTCCACTCTTTGTCCTAAGTGTCCGGACACATGCATGTTTGCTGTTTGTGTCTCATGGTTAAAGGACTTTCTGGATAAGCACATAACCCAGCAGAGTTTTGTTTTCAAAGGAAGGTTTTGAAACCTCCGTTTACCTAGATTTTGAGTTGGCAAGGCCATGCCACCCCCCCCCCCCCCAGTTACATGATTATAATGGTGGTGTTGAGGAAGAAAATTCAGACACATTTTGTGGGCTAAACATTCTTTGGAAGACTTCTGATGTATTAATATTGATAGGGAACATATGACCTGCTTTATAGCTGAATATCTGTAAATAATGTCCAGTGTTTTCTCATTCTACCATACAGTTTAATATAAGCAGGGGTAGAAATGCAGCTCTTTTGGGGAGGGGCTAGGCAGTGGGGTTAAGTGACTTGCCCAGGGTCACACAGCAAGTAAGTGTTATGTGTCTGAGGCCGGATTTGAACTCAGGTCCTCGTGAATCCAGGGCCAGTGCTCCATTCAGTGCACCACCTAGCTGCCCCCATGAGTAAAAATGGGGGAAAAAAAGGATTGTATTTAGATGTAGGATCCACATCTCCTGCTATGCAAATGATATAAAATATATAGGCAACTTTTTACTTTGCACAATAGGCTTATCAGAATTCAATGTTGGAAGTGGAATGATTTAAATCTGAGTGCTTCTATAAGATTTTGAGTTCCAAATTTTTCTCCCTTCCTCCCTCTCCAAGACAGCAAAAAAATCTGATACACTTTATACATGTACAATCCTTTTAATCATATTTCCACATTAGTCATGTGGTGGATCATGAAGAAGCAGAACAAAAGGGAAAAAACACAAGAAAGAAAAAAAAAACAACAAAAAAAGTGAAACTAGTATGCTTAGATCTGCATTCAGACTCCATAGTTCTTTCTCTGGATGTGGATAGCATTTTCCATCATGAGACCTGGAATTGCATGACCTCTTTTATGAGGAAATATTCTTCCTACAAATGGTTGTATACAGTTGGACTTTTTGGTATATTGAGTTTCTTTAAAAGTGGGTCATATTTACAATGTAATACAATTTATAAGTATTAGCTGGGATTCTCACATTAAGTACAATCAAAACAACACTGAATTTAAAAGCGAGGCATCCAGGCTAAAAAAAGAAACTTGGAATTAGTTGGTTTCAGTTGATCCAGTATTTAAACCAGACAAAATAGTGCGTCTAGTTGGCTGAGTAGCTTCAAATTACATGCAATTTTGAATAATCGTATCAAATTACCAACATTTTACATTAATTTCTTCACTGATTGTAACAGCATCAGACCACATAAATATACAGTTAAACTTAAAATCACTGGGAGATCATTGTCAAGTTTCTCTCAAAGGATTCCTTTATAACTTACTTAGATAAATTGCTATCCAAAGTAAACAATAAAAAACTAACATGCTATTGGATGAGTATCATATTAACTTTTATTGAAATGTGGCTCAAAAGGTTTTATACACATATTTACATTTCACCATTAAATATTTCATCACAAAAGCATGATGTATCACAAAGTCCAGAATATTAGCCAATGATGTGGTGGAGAGCCTAGTTAAGAGAGTAACAGCTCACGACTCAGATGCTCAGCCAGGACTACAAAATGTGTGTAGGGAGGATCCAGAGTCCCAGCCACTACACTGCTGGCCTTGTTTACTCTTCTACACAGTTGTACAGAGGCAGCCTAATGACCTTATGTTAATCTTCAACATTTAAGGGTGCTACAGGATTAAATAATGGTCTTTGTTTTTTCGCTTGTATCTTACCAAAGTTGGACTCAAACTCTTTTTTGGTTCCATTTAAATTTTCTAGATTTCCATTCCTTATGCTATATCCCAAAGCATTTAGTTTTCTAATTCTATACTGTACAATTTGTGGTGTTAACTCAAGTACCATTGGTATCTCTCTTATTTGAGATATAGAAACCCCTTCTTTCAACAGAGTCTGAATTCGTTCTTCTAGAATTGGGACAGTGTAGTACAAAAGGGCAGGGCATTTTAAAATCAGTTCCTTCAGCTCCTGATCGGTGTATTTAAAAGTGTTCTTAGCAAAAAAGATGCTTTCTTGTAAGCTAGTAGGGGAGAGCTGAAAAAGAAATCCTTTGAGTTTGGATAAAAGTTGGAGAACTTCCAAGTCTGTGAAGCCTTGTTTCTGGAGAAATTCCAATGTTTCCTTTACAGGAGTGGAAGAATTCAACAAAATAAATGGGTCTTGACTCAACAGTTTTAGTAGCCAGACTTTCATGTTGGCTTGGGAGCCCCCTAAATTCAAGTAACTTTCCTGTAACATCTTGATCGTTTGTTTATTCTTCTCTATAGAATTACAAAAAATATTGGGTGCAGTTGTCAAGAACCGACTAATGATCACATTCTTGAGTCCCAATTCTTGAAAAAATTTAACATTAAGCTTCTGATTTTCCTGGTCTTTAACAATAAAGAAAGATTCTGGAAACTGTTCTATTAATGCCATTACCTCGTTCTTATTTTGGCAGACAGACTGCCACAGGTCTATCTGGGCATTAACTGCCGTTGGATAACAAAGGATGGCTTCTGGACAGCGTTCCAAGATGCGAGCTATCGCAGTTTCACTGGTGCCGATTTTCTGTAAAATATCGGCAATTTCTTCAACGTAAGTTTCCTCCTTGAAAAGCACCCATCCCTTTACTCTTCGGATTTTCCTGATGTCAACTGATAACCTGCAGAGGTTTCGCACAGTCATGTCATTCTCGCCTTCAGGCTGCTGTTTGTCAGGTGTAGAGGTGAAGTACTTTAGGAAAGGTTCAGTCTTTTTATAAGAACACAGTGTGCATGGCCAGGATCTCCTCAGCAACATCCTCAACATGCCCGTCATCCCTTGGCCAATGCCCCTCGCCCTGGGGGAGCTTGTGGTGTATTTAATATCTGGAAGAAAGCAAAAGCTTAAGGTCAGTGACGCCACATGTTTTCCAATCTGAGGTGCTTCTAGGTAGGATTGGTTTGACTTTAAAGAAAGCCAACTGACATCATGATGACATTTTTGAGAGATTCAGGTTAATCCAACTGCTTACCAAAAGTTATTTAACAGCTCACATTTCAGCAATGATTCCAGTATAAAAAGCTATTTCTTCCTCAAAACAGCTCTGAATGGTTGAAAGGTAGAAACTGTTGACGTTATCATCCTCCTGTTGGAGACAAAGCTCTCCAGGGAAGTTGTGACCTTGCTACTAAGTGTGGGAACCAGATGGGAACCCTGGCAGCTGTGGCCTCTGATAACAGTATAGCTCCATGAAAGAGACGAAGCGTCTCTTGAGAAGATGTGCACAATACTTTAGAGAGCAGCAGAGCTTATTTGCATAGATATAAAATTAAAGTGAACTCAACTGAAGTCATGCAAAATCAGATACTTTTTAAGTTGTTCAGGTACATGAATCCTGATTCAACAGGTCAGTGGGAGATTCCAGGGACATTTTTACCATTCCTTGGTCAGGAAGACAGCACCATTACCAAACAGTATACAATTTCAGTTAAATCAATTCTGGGAAATGTCCAATAAGATGCATAATTAAAACATGCATTTCTAATTTTTTTTTAATTTAAGGCTGGTTAAAATGAGAATATTGAATCAGTAGAATTATGCAGGAAGGGGATGTTTTCCTGTGAAACTGCTTTCTTACCCTTCCCTTCATAGGCATAAGTGGTGGCTATTCCTAGTGACAAACATCTTCTTCTTACCAACAGGATTTAGCCACTTGGTGTTGCTAAAATGTGCTGGCAATCCTGTTTCTGATTTTTAATTTCATTTTTCCATTTCAGTTTTTCTGTCTTCTTTCCCTCCTCTCCACTCATTGAGAAGGCATGAAATACAATATCTAATATACAAATGAAGTCGTGCAGAACATTTCTGCATTAGTCGTGTTCTGAAAAAAGATTGGCTTCCATCTGCACTTTGAGTCCATCATTTCTGGATCTCTCTGGAGGTAGACAGCATTTTTCATGAGCCCTTTGGAACCTCAGATCACTGCACTGCTGAGAACAGTGAAGTCTTCCAGAGTTGGCCATCCTTACAACATTATTGTGTTACAGTGTTCTTCCGGTTCTGCTCACTTCACTTTGCATCAGTTCACCTAAGTCTTCCCAGGTTTTTCCTGAAACCATCCCTCTCTCATCTCTTCTTACAACACAATAATATTGTCACGTTCACAGACCACAACTTATTGTTATATATTATATAGAAAATATTATATGTCATCATATTATTACATTCCCCAGTTGATGGTCATGACCTCAATTTCCACTTCTTTGCCACCACAGAAAAAGCTGCCATAAATATTTTGTACATATACATTCTTTTTCTTTGATCTCTTTGGGATACGGACCTAGTAGTGGTACTGCTGGGCCAAAGGGTGTGCACATTTTTATAGCCCTTTTCCTGTAGTTCCAAATTGCTCTCCAGAATGGTTAGATCAGTTCACAACTCCAACAACAGTGCATTAGTGTCTCAGGTCTTTTAAAGTTATCTTTTGCTTCTTTTCTGCCAAATTTGCTTCCACTTCTGCATTTTTGTTTCATTCTCTTTAACTGTATAATACTTGTTCATTGTGCCTTGGCCTCTCTCTGCATTTTTTCTCATTTCTCCTTCTGTGATTATGAATCTTTTGGTTTACCTGTCTGGGAACTTGGTTTGACTTCAGCTTTCTCCCTGGACTTCTGGTCTTTCATCTTTTCTCTTCTCAATCACTCATCTGTCCTCCACCTCCTCACGTTGGGGAAAGGGGGGTAGGGGAGTGCCGGAGCCTCGCCTGGTGTCCCTCAGAGTGGTCCCCACTGCCGGGGGAGAGGGCCACCAGCACCAGCTCATTTTCTAGTTTCCTTTCCCTTGGGACGGTCTATGCTCATGCTGTACATCTCCTTCCCCTCTGGCTGGCCCCGGTTCTCTTTCCATCAAGGCTGGGCAGAATTATCGCCTGCTGCCTCTTGTGGGGTACAGGGAGAATGAACATTTAGGCGGAATATTCCACTGCCATGAAAGGACGGGCTCTGAATATTCGTACCTCTCCAAGTGGGCCGGGGGCAGAGAGCTCAGCCCGTGCTCTCCAAAGGTTATAAAGACTTTTATAGTCTTTGCTGAAGGGGCATAATGTATGAAAATGCTGTTTTATAAGACTTATGGCCTAGACCGAACCCTGTCTGAGTAAGGAGAGTAACTAGCAAGCAGTGTGTCTTCAGGGACTACTGGTTGGTCTCCTGTAGAAGATGCTGAGCTTCCACTGCCCTTATTAAAAAACAAACGCCCTAAATTTGCACACAGTCCCTGCATATCAGAGCTACCCAGCTAACCCCCTCAACTTGCATGCAGAGTCTGAAGACAGCTCCCCCCTCTTATTGAGGTTCACAGAGGGGAGATTAAATTCTCACAACACAGCCATCTAATTCTGCGTCTTCCCATCCAACCTGGGGACTGAAACGGCTTGGCTTTCACAGCATCGGTCTGCCTTGTTTTGGTTGTAGAACCCAGGAGAGGAGCTAATCCAGGTGACTACAAGGGCCTCAGTTTGATCCTGTTTAACAAAGGACCTACGGGGTGCAAGCCATCAGGGTGGGTGATGGGCATAAACGTGAACTAACATTGACATTACAGCGCTTTCTATGTTGCAAAGTATGTTAACTGGTTTGACGCACAAAAGGCTGGAGGAGAGGCGCCACAACTACTTTGATCCTCATCTTAAGAGATGAGAAAGCTGAGGCTCGGCTGAGGCTGGTGTCAGAAGCAGTTTGGTCCCAGGTCTTCCCGACGGTATGCCCGGCAGCACGCTGCCTCTATGAAAAACGACAAGATGCCCTGACCTTCAGAACGTAATGGCAGGACCTGTGATCTCCTCTCCTGTCTCCCCCAGAAGCCTGAGGAGAGACAAGTTTCACCTGCAGGGAAGGGTGAGGAAATGGGCCTGGAAGGGAGTGAGATGGGCAGCTGGGAAGAGGCATCTGCCTCAGGCTTACAGGATGGCATGGGCAGAGGTGCAGAGACTTTGGCTGAGGGACAGAAGAGCTCAGTCCAATGGGAATACAGTGGGCATAACGCGAAGTGGTCTGACATAAGCCTGAACAGAAGCTGCAGGGACCAGACAGGCAGGCACTGGGGAGCCAGTGGAGGTTTTTGAGTAGTGGAATAACGAGACCATAACATTATAATAGGATTATTCTGGCAGCCGTGTGGGGGATGGAGACAGGAAAACCAGCATGGCTGCAGTAGGAGTGGAGATGAGGTAGGGGCCCACATGTGCCTGGGTACCAGAATGATACCAAACAGATATCGTAGAGGTATCAAACAGAAGGTTTGAAAATACTGTACTGGAAATTTGGGGAGAGGGCGGTTTATATGTATTGGAAAGATCCTTGAAAAACACTCGTGCTTCTACACCTATATCCCAAAAAGATCAAGGAAAAAGGAAAAAACCAATAGACACAAAAATACTGGTAGCAACTCCATGTGGTAGCAGAAGATTAGAAATTAGAGGAGGAACTGGTCCTAGCTGAACAAATGATGGTAAACGAATATAATGGGGTATTACTGCACATGGGGAACTTCAGATAAGCTGATGCAACCGAAGAGGACCAGGGGAAGAGGGTATGCAAGAATGGCAGGACACTGCTACTCGACTCCTGAAAGGGAAAGGCGAGGGCCTGGGAGAGGAAGCGTGGTTATGTTTGTTACGTGCATTGGTTACAAGGATTTTGTTTTTCTTTTTTTTAAGCATTTTTTTAAAGGGAGATGGGAAGGTGAAGATATTAGAGTGTTAAGGAGGGGTAGTGTTAGGGGTGCCATAAAAAACAAACAGGGTTAATGAAGCATTTTTTAAAAAAATGCACAGAAGAAAACTGAAGGAAGACCAGAAGGAAATAGAGAAAAGCAGGACAGCTCTGAAAGTTAAGTGCTGAATTTATCATGGGTATAATAGATTCGGTTTCATGTATTTTATTTGGTGTTCAAAATTTAAAAAAAAACTTTAAAAAGAGGAGGATGAGAAGCAAGGATGAAGTTCTACTTGTTGTTCAGAATGAAAGACGTGTGTCCCTTGCCTGAGGCAGAATCTGGTGCCTAAAATACTTAAAACGGTGTCACTTTAAACGGTACTTTTGCACTGAAATAGATTCAAGAAATATCCTAGGGTAGAACAGATTCCTTTTTTCAGAACCTCAATGGAAAGATGAAGGCTTAGTGCTCCCTTTGGGATTTCGGATCTCGTGGGATCTCGTGGGTCGGTTTCTCTCGAGATCCGCAGGCTTTCCTCTTCCTGAGGGTGAGTTCTCCATCGTGTGCAAAGCGCACAAGTAAAGGAAGCCAGCGTTCTCAACTTTTCTGAAGAGTCACGCTCCTTCCATATACGCATTTGTAACACTATTAGTGTCTGCAGATTGAGAAAACAAGGAACAAAGTGACTCCGAATTCAGCGTGGGGATTGACACATCCTCGAGGTCCCCAAACCAGATTAAATTGTAACTGGGAAACGTTTGAAAAATAAAAATGCCATACAACACAGATAATGTTGGTTGGTGGTTTTCTACATCAATGGGCGGCCCAAAGGGATCGTTTCTATTAGAAAGCACGATCTAGTCCCAGCCCGCCTTTTTACAAACAAGGAAACTGAGGCTCACTGAGGTTAAATGACCCGACCAAGGTCTCCCTGAGTAGGGAGCAAAGCTAGGATCATAGACGTAGGCCAAGCTAGACATGGACCTTGGAAGACATCTAGCCCAAAGCCCTTATTATACAGGCAAGGAAACTGAGGCCCGCAGAGGTTAAATGACTTTGCCAAGGTCTCCCAAAGTAAGTAGCAAAGCTGCGATTATGGCTTTGGGGCTGGAAGTGACCACAGTAAAAGGTCATGAAGTCCAGATGCCTCATTTGACACAGGGGGAAACCGAGGCCCAAGGAGATTACGTGACTTGCCCAGGGTGGTACTGGTTAAGGCAGAACAGAATTCGAACCCGGCTCCTGGGATCCCAGCCAGTGCGCTCTACGCGGCCTCCCTTGCGGATCCGGGAACCTCGCCCGAAGCGCCGGATTTTACAGGATGGGGAGCGAGGCCACCCTGCCCCAGGCCAGGCAAGCCGGGGCCGTCCCTGGGGAAGAGCCGGCGCTCCCCGAGATCCCCAGCCCCGACCTCACCTGCCCTGGAAGGGAACTCAGCCAGCGAAGAACCCTCCCTCCGGGCCCCTTCTGCGGAGACTGGTTCCTCTCTTCCGGGAAGCTGACCCTTACCTCCACAAAGGTCCCGCCCGAGCCAATCATGGCTCAGCGTGGCCTCATCTCAGCCTATCACAGCTCAGTCAGTGTTGCCTCTCCTCAGCCTATCATAACTCAGACTGGCTCTTCCCCGCCTAGTACAGTTTAGCGTTGCGACCCTGTCACAACTCAGTACAGCCTCCGCCTTAGCCCAGCCTATCACGTAGCTGAACATAGCCTGGCATGAACCTATCACAGCCAAGTAGAGCCTCATCTCAGCCTATCACAGCCTTGCTTGGCCATTTTGGGACGGCAAACAGAATAGTCCTTTATGGACTGTTCCAAATACTTCTCAAGAGGGGTGGGCGCCTCGGGGGAAAAGAGGAACTGGACGGTACCAATCACATCTAATCAAACCCACAAACTAAATAGCTGTAAGCTCAGCAGACGGCCGAAGTGGATAGAACCACAGTCAGAAAGCCAGGGTTCAAGTCCTGCCTCGGACACTTATTGGCACCATGACCCTGGTCAAGTCATTTAAACTCTCAGTGCCTGGGCAACTCTCCTAACACTGTAAACTGCAGAAGAGTTGCTTATCTCCATTGATTACACCCAGTCAATCAATCAATCAATCCATCAGTCGAGGGCTGGAGAAAGATACAAAAATCACAGATTCGGTTCCTGCTTTCTGTCTCGGAAGGGATTAGGGCACAATGTGGTTGGTGACTGTCCCCCATGTGGAGCCTTGGGGTGTCATTGTGTGGATGGAGACCTCCCGGAGGATCCTCATCTACCCCCAACCCTTCTCCAAGGGACTTTAATTCCTGGCCATTCTGGTCTCCTAGCCTCGGAGGGAGGGGGTGCTGGGCTACAGTTACATCTGTCTGCTCCCTCCAGGACCTGCCATTCTACAGGGGCAGACAGGACACGGAGGGAGTTTCCACAATGGAAAGTCCCATGGTCCAACTTGAAGGTTTGCAGAACGTGTGATATGTTATCACATCTGATCTTCACAACTACTCTGGGAAGTAGGTGTGATGACCACCCCCATTTTATAGATGAGGAAACTGAGGCCAAGAGGTGAAATGACTTGTTCAAGGTCACACAGCTAAGCAAGTGTCTGACACAGGATTTGAACTTATCCACTGCCTTTGGCATGTCTGATCATGATAAAATATCACTGCCACACATGTTAAACCAATTCTCGCTCTATGGAAAGGAGCAGACTTCATTTATTTCGAGTCTTCCAGCGCCTGCTACCCAGATGTTCTTGTTTAATTCTGCAAACTGAGAACAGTATCCTGGTCCACCAGGATCTCCCAAAGCAACTGGTGAAGGCATCGGAAATTATCGTACGGGAGGGAGATCTCTACACATATGTACAGAGAACTCTCCTTTGACCACTCTTGGATTCTTCCACTAGTATGATTTGGAGCAAAAAAGAACATTGAACAAATTCTTAGTTGGCATTTCTACTTAGTAAAAATGATACGACTGAAGGCAGATTTGGTGTCTAAATACAGATTACAGCTTTCTTAACATTCTTTGCTCATATTCAAATTTACCAAACTTTTTAAAGACCACGTCTATATACTCAAGAAATCTTTAAAGAACTAGGCTCAATAAGAGGCCTAGATCAGACTCTGTACATAGCAAATATTTATGTCATTCTCAAAGAGTTAGAAGGGAATCATGCGATTATCTGTCCATCCATCCATCCATCCATCCATCCATCCATCCATCCATCCATCCATCCATACATCCATCCATCCATCCATCCATCCATTGAGGAACAGAGGATAGAGACAGAGAGGTGGAGGGAGAGAGGAAGGGGCAAAGGCAGAGGGAGATTGTGTTTACCTCTTACCCAAATCATGCCTCACTGATAATGCCATCTTTGACGAAGTCATCCAGATGCCACTTGAAGATTTTCCTTGATGGGGAAACTCCCACGGTAACATTACGTTTTTGTACAGCTTTGTTAGAAAGATTTTTTTTTTCCTGTTTTTCCTTCTCTATTCCATCCTGTGTAGCTCTTTTGGGATTCCAGGTTTTTCAATCAATCTATTAGCTGTCCCTCCCAGTTTTTCGTCATCTGATTATGTCCTACGTGTGCCTGCCACGTTTCCATCAGTCAGAATGTTGACTGGGACCAGAGGATTGCGTTCTCTCTCCAAGCCATCCATCGATCATTCTGAATCCACCTTGCTCTATTATCCATCCGTATCTCTCCATCTTGTTAACAAGGAGATTCTAAGCGAATTTGTTAAATATCTCACTGAACACTCACTGAATTTCCCATTGCAACTGGGGGCATAGTGTATCCGATAGAGCCCTGCGCCTGGACTCAGGAAGACTTGAGTACAAATTCAGCCTCAGACACTTACTAGCTGTGTGACCCTGGACAAGTCACTTAACCTCTGTTTGTCTCAGTTTCCTCATTTGTAAAATGGGGAAAATAACATGTACCTCTCAGCGTTGTTGTGAAGAGCAAATGAGATATTTGCTTAGCACACAGCAGGTGCTGTATAAATGCTTATTCCCTTTCCTTCCTCTTTAACTCTGTCAAAAAATGAAATGAGTTTAGGTTGGCACTACTGATTCTTAATTAACACACATCTGTTTACGGTGAATACTTCCCTCCCCTTGTAAGTGCTAGTAAATTGTTGCTTTAATGATTTATTTTAGAATTCTGCAGGAAATCAAACTCAATCCCATTGGCAGACAGTGTGAAATAGCTGCCTTTTCAGACCTTTTCAAAGCAGAGTGATGTTTGCCTTACTACAATCTACTGCCATTTCTTAAAGACCAGAGAGTGGTTCAGGAATCAGTTTTTCCCCCCAGTACACTGAGACACACAATAAAGGGCAGAGCTGGAATGGGTCTCAAAGGGAAACCAGAACACGTCTGTAAAGTGCAGGAAAGCAGCCAGGAAATAGGGAGGGGAAAAGAGGACGGTGTGGGAAAGGTTGGGGCAGCAAGCCCCTGAATGAAGGAGATAGGAAGGGGTGGTCCCCAGGGCTCAGCTTCGTCTGGCAAAGAGAAGAGCGGCTGGTTGTTCTGTGAGAAGAGAGTGCTTGGAGATGTTGGGTGAATCCGGAGAGGTTCTAAGCCTGGCAGGAGAGTTAAGGGAGCTCGAGGCCGATGTCCTCAGTCCTCTGAGGAAGGAGACTCTTCAGTCATTGGCTGAAAGGGTTTGGCCACGGAAGAGGCCCCTTGAGAGGCCCCTAAACTGGAAAAAATCCCTGCTCCCTCTGCCAGAGACCCAGCTCCCAACCCTTTCTCCTCTCTACTTCCCCTGGCTCCTGGAGTAAGCTCCGGGCCACCGCCAGTGGACCAGAGAAGGGAGAATCAGAATGGCTACGACAAAGAAAGGGACCGATGGTGAAGTGAGCAGCTGCTCAAATGCGAATGCTCTCGGTGAAATGTGCTACGGGCACCCTGGGTGTGAATGAGGACGACACAATGCAGCCAGTGTCCACGGGGCCTCTGCCTTTGGCCTCATCAGTGACTACCGTGCGGCGCTGCTCCCAGGCCCTCCAAAACAACAACTCACAAACGTGGGTCTCTGTATTTACACTTTATTGACAAGGCCACTTGAGTGGTAAACCAAAATAGAGATATAAGGAAAAGGGACATGGAAATGATGCTCTGCACAAGTGTGGACACACATCAGAGCCCACGAAGCTTTCAAATACACACGGCTATTTCTGGGAGCACTCTCCCCAACAACTATGATTACTTACATTTTCTAAACTTGATATTATCAAAGTATGCAAAGTCGGATCATACAGTGAGGTCGAGAAAACTGTGCCTCAAAACGTTAACAAAATCTTTTCAGAAAGTCTGAACATCTCCATGTTTCCCTCATGTCTGTTGGAAACTCTCAATTTTACATCAGTTACAACTTTTACTTTTTCCATACATGAAAGATTATCAAAAATATATTGAGAAGTCTAGCACTAATCATGAATATTTCTATTTACATTAAACAAATTTGTTACCAAGTACTCTATATACAAATTACCATTTGTCCTTTGTGAAATTCAATAAAAAGTTAAAAACCATAGAAATGCCATTAGAAATAATGCATCTCAAAAATGTAACTGGTTTCCGTCAATAAAGAACATTTTGAAATAATTTATTGAAAGAGTGTATTACTTTAGACTCCAATTTCAACTGCAATAGCATTTCTTACTGAACGGAGGGGGGAAAACCACAAAGCAAAAGTGTTGATTACAAGAAATCCACCAAAGATACCCATATTTCCCCGCTCCCCTCCACCATTCATTCACCTGGGCACTCTGCTGGCGAGGCCCCGCAGATCCTCTGACGCATGGGCAATCACACCTTCCCTAAATCCAGCTGGATAAGGACACGAGGCTATGTGGAAAGCTCACCTAGAACAGACAGGCTCAAGGAACCGCCGGACAGTAAATACAAGGGATGAGATCCACTGAGGAGGCGAGCGGTCAGTCGTCGTCGCAGGGGCCAGGAGAAAGCAAAGATGGCTTTTCGTCTTAGAGACCGAGGTCAAGTGAGGGAGTCACCGTGCCCCTTGGAAGCTAACCCCAATCGTACGTCACTAAATACATGTCGGTTATAAGAAGCCGACTTCGCCGTGCCCCCCGAAGTTCCCTCGGAGCCTCAGCGAAGACAGGGCATGGGGAAGGCGGCTTTGGGACAGGACATGGGGGTGACCGCCCCGGCCCCTTCAGAGAAAGGTCAGCACCACCCCCTCCTTCTCTGCCCCAAACTTGAAAGGATCTCTGCTTCTAAAGCGGCAGAATAAATGAAGGAATCTGGAAAGAACTAAGTGAAGGGAAGCGCTTCCAGGAGGAAGCCTGTGACAGCCACTTACGGCGAGCAGCCCTGCCCTGTTCTCACACAGTCACATAGTCAGGGAAATGGGATGGTGCGGTCATTCTTTGTACATGTTTATTTCCGCCAGAAAATTAGGACCTGCCAGTTCACTGATTCGTCCACTACAGACCAGACTGTATCATCTCCACGTCGACGACTGAATCTTGACTCTGCCCATTTTTGGAGGCCCGCTCACGTCACGAGTCTGTGCCTCTCTTTCATTTTCCCTTATCACACCAGGAGAAGGGACGGAGCTCTTCGGGGCACAGACGCCTAGTTCACGCTCTGTCGCTGCATTTTGGGGCCAACGCTCTGGGTCTCCTCCTCTGGCCTATGCCGCTTCCCACCACCGAGGCAGCTCCTTCCTATACATTTAGAGAAGTAAATTTAGGACAGAAAAGGCAAAGAGAACATTACATTCATTCTGCTTGCTTCTTACCTTGCTTTAACATGTAAGTCTGCTGACTGTCTTCATGAGAATAATGTGAAATCCCACTCCCCTGAGAGTAACCTAGTTGTATTTGAAAAACAAGAGACATTACTTGAGCTAATGGACTCACTTGACTCCTCCAGCTACCAGGTACCTTACGAGGCAGAATTAAAATCCAAGTGAACAAAAATTTATTTATCCAAATGTTGGAAACATTCCAATTCAGCCCATGACCAGCGTTCAACCTGAGAAGACTTATGCACAAATCTTCTCATTTTAACAAGATTTAAACGATGAATAACAGAAAGGAGAAACACAGCAGCTTGGGAGACCATAAGGCAACAGCTTTCATTCAATTATGAGTGATGAATGTGTAAACACACCTCCTGTCAGTCTCTCCCTCAATTTAACCTAATTTTCTTCTGCAGGCCTAGAAAATACTCTTTTGATTTCAGTAAAAGTTTTGGAAGTTTTCTTGACATATTGCATTTCTTTAGAGAAGCAACATATAAGCATATTCACACTGCTCTCCCTACAAAAGTTCTGGTTATTTGTCTGAAAAAGCAATTCTCTTAGTTTTGCACGTACAGGCAAACAGCTCACTCTAGCAAACACTGACAATAAACGTTTTCCACATATACTTCACCTCTGAAAAGATTCTGAGCTAAAGGGCTCCTTAGCCCACGATGTTTTGGCATAAGGGTGCCTTAAAACACCCAATGTCTTGGACATTCCTCCTCTAATCAGGAAAAAAAGAGAATGCATAGCAATGAAACATCTTCAAACTGTACAAATTTAATGTATGGAATGGGGGCTGGGAACTATTCCCGGTCAATTAAAATCTAAGAAAGAATGCTGAAAATCTTTCCAAAGATCTGCCCGGTAAAAAAATTCATCATCAAACAAGGGACAGAAGAGAACACACAAAACAGAACGTCTAAATTTGATCACATCAAATTAAAAAGGTTGTGCATGAACAAACTCAATGTAAGCATCTGCTGGGAAAAAACATCCCATCGAATGTCTGATACCCAGGACAGACAGTGAGCTGAAACATCTATCTGTGGCCTGGAGCTACTGGCTAATAGAGAAGTTAAGGTACATACATAAACAATTTTCAAAAGAAATGCAGACTGCTACGAGCCGTGTGGGAAATGCTATGGATGGTGAATGGAAGAGAAATGCCAAGGAAATGCCAACATGTGAAGTTCCAACTCTCAGCCTCCTGGGGCAGGCAGGCGCCGGGGGCCAGCCACAGAGGAGGCTCAGCGGCCCCAGCGCTCGCTAGCAGGCATGCACTCAGAGCAGCTCCAAAGCAGCTGAAAGGGTCTCATTTCTGCTGTGATATCTATAAAGGACTAGCAGCACGTCCGTCAGGGAGCGGCCGAACGACTGCACGTTTTTGCATTGTGTGAAAGAGCGAAAGGAGGACTTCAGAGAAATGTGTCCAGACCTTAATGACTGAAGTGACACAGAAGGCAGCAGAGGTGACACCAGGACACACACCGTGATGACGGTAACGTAATTAAAACGACACGAGAATTGTTTATCAGCCTTCGTGACAGCTGGCCTCCTCACCGGCCGCCCCTCCTGCTCTGTCCTCCTTCCTTCTGACAAGGCCCCGCACTGACTACCCCACTGCACGGGGCGTCTGGGGTCCCGCTCTTTCCCCTCCCTAAAGGAGTCCTCTTCCTTGCTGGCTGGTCAGCCCTTCCCCGCCCACTCAGGGCGCTCTGGCGTGGGCTTCCAGAGAGCCCCTGCCCTGGCTCGAGGTCAGGAAATGCTGAAACAGTTCAAAGGTGTCATCTGAAATACCTGGTTGCTGACCGCCACTGGCTCCTGTCGGCGGCTCTGGGAGCGCACAGGCCTGAAGGATCTGCCCATCGCTGGCACCCACTGGGGCTCCTAGGGACCAAAATGCCAAATTCTTACAGGAACATTCAGGTTTTTAGGAAGCATCTACCATTCTACTGTCACAGCACTGAACGTTGGTTTGGAAAACTAAAGAAATCCTATATTTACTATCGTTCAAAAAGACTATTGTTTCTGTTAACTACGGACGACAAAGCTTAACATTCTGACTCATCCCTTCAATGCCGCCTTGCTCTTGCAGCTCCCACTCAGTCGGTCACCAGCTGTCGTTAGCTGGGCGCTGTGAGGGAGGTTAATGACCCCTTACTCATGATTCTGGCATTCCAAACAGACTTGATTTTCACTTAGTATAGTAAATATAATTCATGATATCCTACATCATGGAAATGCTTCCCACCTTCAATCTGCAGTAACATCTCATCCAACCTAAGCTGCCCCACATAAGGTCATTCCTACAAATTCGATCAATGGCCGAACACAGTTACCGGACACATCCAGCAGGTACAGAGCCCACCGGCTCCTCCTCAGAGTGAGGGACCTGTGGGTGGTCCCCACGTGAGAAAAGCCGTCCTTAACCCTCAGACTCTCCCTTTCAAGGCGGCTTTTCTGCACAGAGCCTTGTGACCCGCAAGTCTTCCTGATGAGGTGGGGTTTCCGGAGAGGACCTACCTCCGCCGCTGCTGCTACAAGCAGGAATGTTTTCTCCGGGTGCGTAGCCCATGAGGCCGCCGTTTCCATTCGGGTTGGAGGGCACAGAAGCAAGAAGGCCTGTAGGGGATGGGGGGAGGGGAAGAATTCCCAGTTAAATAGGACAGAGATCCGAGGCAGGGGCAAACACACAGCTGTTTCCAGAGGACCATGGGCATACCCAGTCCTCGGTATCGCGAGAGCTGCTGATAGATCTGCTTCATCCTCTCGATGTTCAGACGGCTGGCCTCGGCATGGTTCACCATTGGTTTAGGGTAGTTTACGCCGATTAGGCACTTTGCCACCTTCTGGACACCTTCCGGGGCATTCCAGGGATCATAGATATACTTTGCAGGGAAGCCTCTCAGCACAGGCAGGTAGCGTCTAGGGTGAGAACAAAGGAGAGAGGAGATAGGAATGGAAGGCGTGGAGACTCCTCCACCTCCCACGAGGGGCCGGGGCCACATCGAGCCGCCTGCTCGCAGCCGGTTACCCTGGCAAGGCGGGCCCTCTCCGCTGCTCACCTGATGTAGTCTCCATTGGGATCGGTTCTCCTACCAAAACCGACGGGACAATAGCAGTGGAAGAACTGCTGGAAAAAAGAACTGCAGGACAGCCACATCCAGCTCCCCGCATTGATGCTCCAGTCGGCGTCAAGCAGCAGCTCTTCAAAGACCTTTGGAAACAACAGCAGACCATTAAGCGACCCCCCGCCGGCTGTGTACACCAGGAAGAAGGAACTCTAAAAACCAGGCACTCTTCTCTGTTCGTGGGACACAGCGAGGGGACCGAGACGGGGAGCAGCTCAGGGCCAGGGTCTTACCAAAAAAAACAGGCCTCCCTAGGGAGCTGTGATGCCCCAGGGCCCAGTCACCAGCTGCCTCCGTGATTTCAGGAGACAGAAGCTGCCATGAGGTAGAGGATTTTCAAATTGTTTAGAATGGTTCATAGGAGTAATGGGGCCCTCCGCCCCCTGCCCCAGGACTGACCCCTCCTCACCCCTGCCCACCTCTGAGCCCCCGTCTGCTCCTCTCCGCCCCAACAGAGGCACCCACGGGTGCAGCCATGGGCACTTTCGTAGGGACAACCAGAAGCAGGTGCTGTCTCTACACAACAGGAACTGTCCACTCACAGGACCTCCAGGAGCTCTGCCCTCTTCAGATACGTGGAAAAGCACGGGATCCTCCTCTGGGCCTTCCCTCACCCTCCCAACTCTGCCCACTCCCCTTCTCCCCACCACACACACACACACATTCTCTCTGTCACACACACACACACGCACGCGCACACACACACACACACACACACACACACTCTCCTCCCTATAGCAGCGGGGTTTATAAGCACAGTCCTTGACAAAGTCTGTTGTCACTGTGGTCTGCCTAGCCCAATGGCGGGCACTCAACATTTGCTGAGGTCTCGCCAAACGAATCTGATTTCCTTTGTGGGGTAGGTGGTTAACGTGCCTGATCGGGAGGCACAGGGCAGAGTTTCTTGGGGCATCCGTAGGAACAAGAGGGAGAATTCGAGCTGGAGGACAGGACACGACCACAGTGGGACTGGGGAGACCCCTCCCAGCTGTGGATGAATAAGGCACTTCACTTTTTTTGAGCCTCCGTCTCCTCATCTGTAAAATGAGGATAAATAAACCCCTAATCTACCTCACAGGGTTGGTATAAAGAAAGAACTTCATAAATGTTGTGGTTCTATCTTTGTGAATTGTTATTATTAAAAATAAGGGGTATTGGCTAAGAATAACGCCAGCAGGGGCAGCGCTAGGCAGCCTTCTCTCTACCAGGCACCTTGCTCAATGCTGTCCAAGTACCATCTCATGCTACTAGGAATGACGTCAGGCTGGACCATGTGGCCCAGAGCCCCACCCCGGCCCTGCTGAGCTAAACGTTTTCATCCCTGACTTGGCGAAAGAAGGCGAGGCCCTGTGCTTATCAGATTTTCCAATGATGAAACACTGAGAAGAATAACTAAGGTATGAGATCACAGTAGGTTTGAACAAGGCTCCAATACGACCAGTGCACACTTTAACCCAATTACATTTCAAAGTCTTGTGCTTGGGACTGAAACCAAACTGAACATTAACACTTGGGGTCTTCTAGAGGAGAGACACCGGGCTGAATCTGCGGCTGTAAATGCCGGGGATGCCGCACGTTTGTCTTTAAATGCCCCAGGGGCTATCGCGTGAAACAGCGATCAGAAGAAGAGGAATGGGTTCCTCATGCACTAGTGCCGTCCTCGCGGCCAGTCCTGGCCAGATGACCTTGGAGGCTCCTGCCAACTCAAAGGTTCTAGATTTCTAGGACTGGGCACTTTCATAACATGAGCCCCCCGTTCATGTGCTTTGGAAGGCGGCAGCTGGAAGCCTAAGACTGGAGAATACACGGAAGCGCTGCTCCAAAGCAGAGGCTCCACCCCAGGCCCAGGCCATGTCTGACCTCCTGGAGGGAGGGAACCCACCCCACAGAGCTGGCTGGCCAACTCCTCAGGGAGGCTGGAGAGGGGACAACTCTTCACCGGGGGCTTGGACCAAAATGCTCGACTCCTCACTTCAGCTCACACCCCAACCTGTCCTCAAGGCCTGTTACTTCTCTCTTCTCAGCGTCTCTCCAACACGGCCCTGCCCCAAGCTCGGTGCAGGCCCTCTTCACCTCACACCCAGACCACCACAGTAGCTGCTGGGGGGGTCCACTGGCCTCGAGTCTCTCCCCCTCCAGTGCGTTCTGCACTGATGATCAGGAAACTGAGCTCTCCAAAATTAGGTCTGACTACGCTCCTCCCATATAAAAGACATCAGTGGCTCCCATGACCTCCAGGATCAACAGAAAATGCTCCGCTAGGCTTTTACGGCCCCGTAACCTAGCTCCATCCTGCCTTTCCAGTCTTCTTACACTGCCACCCCCACCACACATGCCTCCTGGGCGTTCCTGGAGCACGACAGTCCATCTCCTGAAGCTGGGGGTTTTCACTGGCACGTCCCCCTGTGCCTGGAAGGCCCTCCCTCCTCATCTCCCCGTCCTGGCCACCTCCTACAGGAAGTCTGTCCTGACTGTCATCAATGTTAATGCTGTCCCTTTCTGTAAATAGCTTTTGTGTGTACAGCTGTTTGCACGTCATCCCCCCCATTAGACTGTGAGCTCCTTGAGGGCAGGGACTGTGTTTCTGCCTCTCTTTGCATCCCCAGGGCTCAGCATGGTGCCTGGCACACAGCAGGTGTTTAGTCAACGCTTGCTGACTTGAGTTTCTACAACTCTGAATCACCGCAGATTCTCAGCATCTCGGCACAGAAAGGACCCTAGGGTCATCTCGCCGTCTGCCTCATTTTATAGGAGAAGACACTAAGGCTCAGAGAGGGAACTCACTTCTCCAAGGTCCTCCGGTCTGCTGGGGACAGAGTCAGGGCCCAGCATCTCAAGCAAGCAGCCCACTGGTGGGTAATGGCAAGTTTACTAAGGACGTTGCCCACCTTCATGCCTTCCTCCCAGCTGATCCACAGGTCCCCTCGGGTCAGGAAGCAGGCCACCGCGTGTCTGGCCAAATGGTGAATCCAGCCCTCCTGACGCAGCTGCGTCATGATGGCATCAATCCACGGGAAGCCCGTCCTGCCTTCGGCCCACTTGGCGAGCGCCTCAGGGTTTCTGTCCCAGGGAATCTGAACACAGATGGGGTTCCCTTCCATTTTATCAAAGCGCGGGTTGTTTGTAGCAGCTGTGTAGAAAAATTCCCGCCACAAGAGCTGCCCGTAAAGAGAAAGGGGAGGCGAGCTGTTCTTCTTTACCTGACGGGAGAAAGGAGAGCGTCAGGAGTGCCGGCGGTCAAGAGCGGCTGATGGCTACGCTCAGGCGCCTGGAGCAAGGGTCCTACCTTCTTGTAAAGGTCCGTCAGCTTGAAGTAAAAGAGACGGCAGGACAAACAGCCGAAGCGCAGGTAAGGACTGAGGCCGGTAGGGCTCGCCAGGAGGGAGTTGGCGTTCATCCTTGGTCTTTCAAAGTTTGCCACCCAAGCCTAAAGTCACAAACAATTCCAGTTAGCTGTTTTTCCTGCACGTAGAGGAAGGTTCAAAATCTTTTTTTACACAGCTGTTCTTAGTGGATAAACTTATTCCATATAATGACCATCTAGGCTGCACTCTGACAAAGTGTTAGAAGGAATGACCGCAGGTAAGAGGGGGACACCTCTGCTCCGGCCATCCCTACCTGGGACGTCTACTCGTGGGAAAGCACAGATGCCCCAAGGGGCTGAGCCGTCTTTACCATGTCTGACGAGGTCGTGGTTAAGACAGGGGAGAAGGGCTCCCTGCGGGCACGAGGCATTTCAGACACACAAACGCTGGACGTCACTTGGCACACATCGGGCACAATGCCCCAAACAGACAGCGACAAGTCAAGAGATGAGCCATCTCCTTCAGGAAGGGGATTGCAGGTGTATGAGGACACACCACATGGGTACCCGGAGCTCAGGGAAGGGGATGGACATCAGCACAGCAGAGATCAAAGCGTCAAAAGCCCTAGTGCTCAACCAGGCGCAGCTTTGCCCAGTCAAGTCCAGACTGTCTTAGAGTTCTCTGCTCCAATTAGAGGGATCTGGAACCCAGTTCCTGTAATACCCCTGCCCACTTTTTTTTTTCTAATGAAGGGTGAGAAATCATTTTTAAAATGCCAATTTAGCAAGAGAACAGAGATGATCATACTTTTCTTTCCAAATGCCTCTCCAAGCGTGTGAGGGCTTCTGTCTCCCCACCAGGCCACACCGCAGAAGGTAAGCCGTCTGTATCAAAACCTACAGAAACAGAAAAGACAGCTTTGGAAGTCAGGGAGATAGCCAGAGACAAGAGGGAAGCACTTAGCCCAGGACCTGGCATATTGTAGGTGCTCAGCAAATGTTAAATAACTGACTGACCTAACCTCAGCAATCGTATTGAGTAAAAATAAAATGACTTTTGTAAAGCACTTTAATGTTTGAAAAATGCTTTGCACACAAATCATGTGATTCTCACAACCACCATGTAACATAAATACAGCAGGTGCTATTTGTCTTTAGTGACATCTGGGGAAACTGAGGCTTAGATTATGTCCCTGTGGTCACATGGATACTGTCAGATGTGGTATTTGAATTCTTCCTGATTCCACTTTATTCATGAGAAGAAGTTGCTGAATAATGCTGAAGATTCCTTTCTTCTCTTCTCCCTCTGTACTATTTCACTTGGTGACCTCATGAGCTTCCATAGATTCAATGATCATTTCCAGGTTGATGTTTCTCAAGTCTACTTAGCCAGCCCCAACCTCTCTCCTCAGCTCCAGCCTCGAGTCTCCAACTGAGCCTAGTGGACGCTGGAAACCGGATGTCCTGCAGGCACCAGAAACTCACTATGTCCAATGCTGGCCTCACTGGCCTTGCCTTCTGAGACCCTTTCCCCCAACTTTCTTATTAGTGTTGTGGTCACCACCATCGGCTGATACACCCAGGCTTGCCTGAATGTCGTCCTCTGGTCCTCCCTAATGCTCACTCCCCTCACTTCGTGTCCAAGCAGTCACCACATCCTGTCTTTTCTATTCTAGAGACACGAGCTGATGCTTTCACCACCCCTGCGGTGCCAGCCATCCCCTCCTCATGACCACAATAGCCCGCTGGCCTCTTTACTCAGGTATCCCCCTCATCACTCCCTCCTTCACTAACCTGATTCTCCTCAAGCTCACGTCTGATCGTATCCAGTAAAATTCATTGATGCCCTGTCACCTCCTTCCTTTTCCAGTCTTCTGGCACCTTCCCTGCCCCCTGGTCTGTGATCCAGTGACCTGGGCCTCCTCACTGTTCCTGCCACAAGACACTCCATGCCCTGACTCCAGGGATATTCACCGACTGTCCCCCGCGCTGGGAATGCACTCCTTCCTCATCTCTACCTCCTGGCTTCCCTAGCCTCCTTCAAGTCCCAGCTAAAATCCCACCTTGTACAGGAGACCTATCCCAGCTTCTCTTACTGCAAAAGGCTTCCCTTCCAGAGGACTGCCAGCTGATCCTACATCTGTTTCCGCATGGGCTCCCTATCCCGTGGGAGTTCCTGGAGGGCCTCCCCATGCCTGGCACAGAGAACGCATGGGTACAGACACTAGGTATGGCCCCGTCCTGGAGGCCTGCATCAGAAAGCTGCAGGGTTGGATCAGTCTTCACGTGGTACACCAATGCAGACATCGCTAATGACTAATTTTTTAGTTTTTGATTTCATTTAGCAGCTCTCATTTTCCTTCCTTAGTAGAGGGGATCTCATGTGAGATGGCAGAAGGACGTGAGCGGGATGCTGGGACTTGTAGTCTACCTCTTAAATTCCACCTAGAACTGTTTCTTTTAACATTTTTCTACTAAACTTAACACCCAATAAAATAGGAATGTCTACACGTGAAGTAGAAGAGAAAGAGGATTGTACACGAAGCTGCAACCCTCTGTTCTGGACAGCGCTTAGCACAGTGTCCGGCACATAGTAGGTGCTTAATAAATGTGTACTGAACTAACTGGTTGGACAGTTGGCTTTTCCTTTTAAGTTTAAAAGTTCAACTCAGGGTTTCCCAAGTGTCTGCTTCTCTGTGTTTTATTCTGTTCTCTGCATTTTTAAAAAAAATATGCCTTAATGACCCTCTTTTCTTTCTCATCTTTTGCTGCTGCATCCCTTCTCATCTCCTCTACCCACTCTTTGTCAGAAAAAAGAAGAGAAGGAAAACAAAACTTTTGTAACCAATACACAGTCAACCAAAACCAGTCTCCACACTGGCCTTGCTCAACTGCGTAGGCCTCAGCCTGGACCCAGTGTCCTTCACCTCTGAGTTAGAAACAGCTTCAAGATACCTAGCTCTTCCAATGAGGGCACGCCATATTTTTCGTCATGTTCATCTGAGAGCGGAGTAACACATCTGTGCATCACTTCAGGTGTTATCGTCTCCACTGGCGTCGCTAACGGCTCCATTTTGCTGATGAGAGTTTGGAACCTTTTATATGTCAGAGGTGGCTGTCCACCATTCAATTCTATGATCCTGTTGTATAAGGGGAAACAATGTCTGGTATTAGTATAAAAAAAGAATAAATCTATTTTAGAATGAATTTTTTAAAACACTTAGGATGAAAGATGAAACTAATCCCCTGTAAACTTCTGGGACATCTTCAGCCAGATGTAGGAAAATGAAACTCATTAGTGGTACTTAATAAGAATCCTTATAATGACACCTAAAGGGGATACTCTTTCTCTCTCTCTCTCACACACACACACACACACACACACACACACACACACACTCACTCACTCACTCTCTCTGTCTGTGTCTCTCTCTCTCAGACACACTCTAATTTGAAACATGAATAGGGAATAAGTGCTTCAGGACAGAGATGCCTATGTGGGCTGGGTGAGGAAAGGGCAATCTCCCTTCCGATTCTATCCTGGTCCCCATAACTCTTCCCCAAAAACATAAACTTAAATTTGTCTGTCTCTTTGTAATCTACTAGAATGTGTAAAAGGCTTCCATATATATTAGCTCATGTAGCCAGCTAATCTCACCATCATTCATGGTTCAGACTCCAACCTAAATGTAATATTTAGAAAGGTCTAAGATCGATCTACCTTCCTCTAAATATATACATAATCACACATACAAGAGATGAAAACAAAATGGTTCAATAATGCTCAGTACATTCCCTATCTTTCTGCTGACATGAATGAGTTGAAACCAAGGGTAAAAGCTTGCTCCTAGGAAACAAACTTGAAGTTCATTATCAAAGGCATTTTGAATTCTAGATGCAAATGAAGACATTTGGTAAGTGAAGACCATAATTATTTTCTGCTATAATTATTTTTGCAAAGATATCGAATAAATTACTTTAGTATAAAGTACACCAACTGTAGACTGGTAAGGGAAAGGATCTGTATCATTAATTTGTGAAAATGAATATCTAACTAAAGGAATGCCAATTCATCTATAAAGACCTCCAGGAATCATAAGATTTCTACACTATGTTACGTTATTTTGTACTGATTAATTCAAGAAATACTGACTGACTTACTATTATCAACCATGCATTGCACTAAATACTCTAAGGGGATGCAGATATATTATTGTATGACCCAAGGTACTGTCCGTACCTCACCGGAGACCTGTATTTATTAGGGTAATACAACACAAGTGTTCAATGAGGTACAGACAAGTACTATGACTGGACAGGAAGGAGTGATCACTGTGAGTCAGAAAGAAGGGGCTAAGCACTGCTCTGTGACTGTGGACATAGGCAGGCAAACATGCCCACCTTGGAAGGCCAGCCTTATGTAGGGCAGCTGGTTATTTCCCCTTGGCCCAGCAGACGAACAGTACGGTCACTGGTTTAGCTGCACGATAGGAAATTCCCAGAGAGTCGACATTGCATTCCTGATGATGGCCTTTTCTGGATGGGAAGGAGACTGAGGAAGGAGAGGAGGGGGCAGGGCATTCCAAGCAGGGGGATGGAGGGAACAAAGGTGCAGGATGAGCAAGGAAGGTTTAACTTGAGCTTACGTGTGCACAGTGCCTTACTACACGCTCATTCACTCATTCATTCCTATACTGTTTGTTACTCTCCACGTGAAGGCACGTTTTTAGAATCTCGCCACAGAACTTACTTGTCGAGGTCATACAGAGTGTGTGAGATCCGCACGATGACCTCCACCCCTGCCTCACTGGCCAGTTTCTTAATGGCTGCATCTCGTTCCTTCCCAAAGGGCTCAGAATCATATTCAATAGAGAGCTTAGCAATGTTCCATTCCTAAAATAAAAGAATGCAGACAAAGTAAACAGATTTCAATAAAGTTTTTCCATTATAATAGTAAAAGAAATACAATTAGGAAAGATCCTTCTGTAAAGACACATTCTGAACACCATTACTTTGTATGGATTCATTCCCTTTAATTACTTTGTAGGTCTCTAAAAACCATTGCTCACACTTCCTGCTTATGCGGTGACCTGACCTCACAACAGTAGTAAGTGTGAGTATTATATATTACACCATCTATGGGGTTAATGTTGTTCATGACAACAGTATCTCTTGCAAGCATTTTGTGAGGAATACAGGGAGGTAAATGGGCGGGCAGGCTGGCTGAAAAGAGACATCCATGGGAGGCAGGAGAAGACCACGAGAAGGTGAAACAGAAGCTGTGTCCCAGGACAGGAAAGAGATGACACATCCCATTCAGCAACGATTTATCCTAGATATGAACATACTTACTTGATGCTTTAATTGAAATAACTCTACAACAAGGTTTGTATCAAACACTGATCTGCAGAATGAAATGAGGATTTTATGTACTGAAAGGACTGGAGTGCGAATTTGGCATTAACACATCCCTGAATCCGAGAAGCCTAAGAGTTGAAGGGGCATCCCAAGTTGTCCAGTCCCATTTACAAGGTCCCTGACAAGGGGCTGTGCGGGTCATTGAACATTTCCAGTGACAGGGAACTCACTATCCCTGACTCCCAAAGAGCATTTAATTTCTGGACAGATAAAATTAATGCAAATGTTTTCTTCAGTAAAGGAGACCGAAGGAGAGTCACATCCTTCAGGAGATGGGAAGCAGATCCAGTAGACACATCCTCAGTCCCAGGACAGCCCGTTTTTACTCAACAACTCCTACTCTCCTCCACGCATCCATTTCCATATCTTTAAGTTCACCCTTTCGTCCTTCTCATGGAGCACAGACTTGCCCAGAGGGGGAGGGGGTTTCTTTGCTCACCACTGCCGCAGCTCAGACTGTGCTCTGCAGCCTCCAACCTGGAGAGGTTCCTGAACTACTGGTTACTAAGTTCCTAGATTACTGACTGGTTAATGATTAGAGTTGTAGTTAATCACTGAAACGAATATCTACGGATGAGATGGGGATTTCACTGTGCAGGCCTTAGCAGAGTTTGTAAGAGGCTACAAGCTGGCCCTGTCTCCTGGGTACGAGATAAGGAAGATGGCGGTAGATGAGTCACCCTGGGCCAGAGAAGCTTTGCCCAGCACTGGGTCTCTCTGGTATTGAGTGGTGTCTGGCATGGGCCTTCTCAGAGGACGTTACTCAACTCTGTTTTCCCTGTTGCTATGGATTCCGGAGACCCCTTCTTGCCAGTCAATGTGATGTGCGCCCACCCTTCAAGGCCATCACAGTCGTACTTTCATTTGCATCACTGGGTCTCATGTAACCACCAAACTGTACAAAAAGCTGCTCTGATTATAAGGTGTTTCTCTGGTCACTGAAGGGCCATGACCTCTATTATTTGTCACTGCTGGCTTTGGTAATAAGTAGACTGTGCTGGGACTTTTGTGCCTCGATTCCCTTCATCACAGATTTTTATCACGACAATCACAAGCAGTAACTGCTGACCCACTGCCACCAGAAGGCAGGTAGGGCAAAGGTCCCGGGAGTGGTAGCCCCCTTCTCACCCCCACCCCACCCCCGCCCCCACACACACCCAGACCATTGGTTCTGCTTCCAGCCCAGCTCTCTCAACCACTTCCCCCAACTAACTGCTCTCTCCCCACCCCACGGGGAAGGCAAGCCAGCCGAGCTGAAGCAAGATGGCACCCTGAGAGGGACACAGGAGACAGTATTTGCCAGGAAAGTCATCTCCCCTCAGACCCCAATGGAGACAGGCCAGGACCCTGAACCCACGAGCCACCCTAGGAGGCAGCCCCCGGGGAGAAGAAACCTGGCAACTGCTCCTAGGGATGCCGGGGCCACAGCTATGCAAAGTTCCTGCCGCCAAAGTCCTGGGTCTCGTCCAGCGGCTCTAGTGAAGGCGCTCTGCTGCTGCCCCTAAGGGCCAGGGGACCTTCCATCAGATCTGCAGCTGAAATCTTCTCTGTGTGTTGTCTCCCCATTTGCTGTCCCCGGAGCTCAGCACAGTGCTTGGCACACAGTAAATGCTTTCTTCTCCTTTCATTTTCATTTCAGACTGGATGGATATGTGTGGTGAGGGTAAGGGAGGAGGTGAGGATGACCCCAAGGTTGCAAGAGGAAATAGGGAAGAGAGAAAGAGATGAATTCTGTTTTAGACAAGGAGAGGCTTGTTCTGCTTGGCCCCAGAGGCCTAGAACAGGCTGGACACTGCAGAGGCAACAGAGGTTTGATGTCACAAAAAGTTCCTGACAGCCAGAGATGCCCCAAGATGGATGGGCTGCCTCAGGTGGGAGTGAGTTCTGTCTCCCTAGAGCTCTCCAAGCAGAAGATGGGTGACCACTTGTTCAGAATGTCAGAAGAGGGATTTCTTGTCTTGTAACTCTGAAACTAAATCTATAGACATTCTATATCCCCTATGCCTCTCTGCCTTTTATTTCATTTATATTTATATACTTCTTCCCATTTTCATCATTACACACACATACATAAAGTAAGGATTCCTCAATTACCATCTCTATGTAGAGGACTTCCAAATCTATTCTCCTTTTCAGACTACAATCCACATCACCAAGTGCCTGCAGGACATTTTCACCTGGATGCCCCATCACAATCTCAAAATCAACATGTCCAAAATGGAACTCATCATCTCTTCCCCCACCCCCCCCCCCCCCCGCCCACCCCATGTGGCGGGGCCAGCAGCAATGACAACAGGAAGAGATTCCGACATTCCGACAGCAATGCCAGCAGATCTGCTCCTCATTGTCCTCCTTCCAGTTTTACCTACAAATGCTTTCAAGGTAATAGGCTTGCTGGGCCAAGCGCCTAGTTTTTTTAAGGTTTGTTTTCCTCTCAACCATGGCTCTTGTTTATTTGAGGGGAGGCTCTGGTCATTCTCCTGTGTAATGTGGAAGAGGCTTATGCTCTGAACGGCGCTCTCCTATGTTCTCCGCTTAACAAATACGGCGCTTATGCTCGCTGAAGCGGTGCCCACATGCCCTCAGCTTCCTCACCACCACCGTGCTTCACGTTGGTTACACTTCTGTAAGTGTATGTTTTCACACGGATACTTACATACTTAAGAAATGTTGGTAAAAGTCAACGTCTTTATTTTTGTTTGGTTCTCATTTTTGAAAATCAAGAGTTTGTTTAAGTAGTTTTGGCTGGAGGTGCTATACTCATCTGTGTTATCTTTATCCTTTCTTTTATTTTGGTATTAGTTTTGATGATCCAGTTAACAAACTACTTGAGTACAAAGTATTAAAATGACAACAGGAGAATCTAAATTTACTTTATAAGCCCATTTTATAAATGGGGTGTAGACAGGATCAGATGCAAAATGAGGTTCAGTCCAAGGGGAGATAGGCCCTCTAGCAAGATGCTGCTGTGTAGGAACATGGTGAACACCTGCAACCTCCAGAGCAGTATTAAATGGTCTAAAATTGGAATTGCCAACTTCTGGACGTTTAAGGAACACAAAGACCACTGAGAATAACAGCCTTGGTTACTGGGTATTTCAATCCAGTAGTAAACTGGCAAAGGATGGTCAACTCATACTATTATCAAACCGCGGAAATCAGAGATAAAAAGCCTCATGGGCCTAAAAATCTACAACTACGTATTTATGTTTGCTAACATATAGTCAGAAAAAGAATCAGTTCTATTATTGTAGACAGAATACATCAAATTTCTTATTAGGGAATTTAATACAATGGTGTGCGTGTGTGCGTCTGTGTGTGTGTGTGTGTGTGTGTGTGTGTGTATGTGTGTGCACGTACCCATAAGCAGAAAGTAAACCAATTTACAAATGGTAGACAGGATCTACCTAACTTGATATAGTAGTTTGAGAGTTTAAAACAATTAAATGCATCATACTTTTGGAAAAAAAAAAAGTGAATTCAAAAATAATCCAATTAAAGTCTGGTTTTAGTTCAAATAGAAAGCTTTTTATTCCTAATTTTATTGCATACACTGGCCCATGCGTACACATACATACACGGGTATGTACACACAACTATTTCTGGCTTGGCTTTCTACATGAAACTCTTCAATGTAACTGAGAGAAAGCAGGGCTCATGAACAGATGCCATGGTCACACTAACAGGGCCTGAATTCTTCTGAGGAGGCCATGTAAAAAGGTCGGGAGCAACAAAGAATGGTGGGGGGGAAGAGGAGAAAAACCACTACCAGTTCAGATCGAATCTTCAATTTTACTTAGCAAGAAACAGGGAAGCTCTTCTGACCCCGTTTAACACACAACAAGGGCTCTGTCATCAGTGAGAGAAATTACTCCTCTCCCACTCCCACACTGGGATCAGAAAAATGACCTGGGTCCATGATCAGGACTAGGTCATGGGTGGGTAAATAATTATAAAAACAATGGGTAAATAGTGATAAGAAGTTTATAAGAATAAGTTATAAGAAAATTAAGAGAATCAGAGGTATATCCCAGAGAAGCTGAAAATCGTGAACCTCAGTTTCATGATTCGTCAGGTGAGGATAACAAAATCTGCACTGTTTTCATAAACCATAAAGCATTATGCAAATGTGACTTACTATTGTTACTGGGGAGAAGGACAGTCAGGATACTTGGGTTGTAATCTTAATCCTAATAGGAACAAACTGGTGATCTGAACGAAATTCACTACTTCTCTGGGACTTGCTTTTCTTTTGAGTCAAGTAAAGCAACTAGATTAGATGATCTAAAATCCTATGAATTAAGATTCACCAACACAATTTCTGCTCCCCAAATTTTTGTCCTTGGCTAAAATTTACACACCAAGTATAACATTTTCATATCTGAGAGTAAAGAATGTTAATGTGTCTGTCCAAAGTTTTAAAACATACCTTGAAAAGTCGAGGAAACACATCTGCTGGCTGGCCACGAATGACAAACAAACGAGAATTTAATTTTCTTAGATTGGCATCAAGATCCTCAAGACACTGTAGCAGAAATCTAGAAAGAAGGAGTTATTCATTTTTAAAAAGTTATGCTGCATTACAAGAGATCTAGAAATGCAAAATATACAAAAAGCTGACATATTTTCCCCCCAAATCATATTCACTTAAAAATCAGAGGCAAATAATGGTAGACTTGGAGTCAAGAAGATCTGAGTTCAAATCCAGCCTCAGGCACTCACTAGCTCTGTGACTCTAGGTAAGTCACTTAATTTCTCTCAGCCTCAGTTTCCTCATCTGTAAGATAGAGGTAATAGCTTCTTCCTAGGGTTGTCATGAGACTCAAATGAGATATGTGTAAAGTGTTTTGCAAACCTTGAAGCTCTACGTACAAGTCAGCTATTATTATTAAAACTATGGCAAAGCACTCAGAATTATAAAGGATTTCTAAAATTTTATATAAGTGGAAGGTAGAGATTGAAAGTTCTCAATACAGCATTTAAAGAATAATCACAAAAGTTTAATTTGTCAACATATAACTTCAGTAAAACAACCCCAAATAACAAAATCAAATTCAGATTCGTAGAACATAAAACCAGTATAAATATGCATGGATAGCCTGTCATGAAAGTCAAGCACTTCTTCTACTGGAAAAGACTTGTGGCCTCCTATTTATGGCCAAGGATTCCATATATTTGTCTAGCAAAATTATTCATTACAAAATCTATCAACTGATGAAATAAGTACTTATCAAATGAGTACTTGCTGGTTACTCTGTCCAGAGTGCAGGTGTTGTGGGAGACACCAAAGCATGAAACACGGTCCCCGCCCTTAAGGGGTTTATAATCTAATAACAGCTACCATTTATAGCCTATTATGTGCTAGGCACTGTGCTAAACACTCATTGGATCCCCACAACAACCCGACAAGGTAGGAGCTATTAGTCCCTGTTTTACAGATGGGCAAACAGAGGTTAAATAACTTGCCCAGGTCACCAGCTAATAAGCACCTGTTGGATTTAAACTCAGGTCTTCCTGACTCCAGGCATGGCAATCCCTCCACTGAGAGAGCTGCCCCTAAACTAGAAAAACAAGCCTAACACACATGAAATAACTAGAGAACAGTGAAGTATTACTCGTAATAGGAGTTTAGAGAAGGGAAGTAGCTGCAGGGGCTAAGGTAGTCAGAGAAGGCTTCATACACAAGGCAGGACTGTGGACACTTTAAACAAAATGTTACTAATGCTGCTATACTTCAGGTTTCTTTGTCGCCTCCAGGCAGTAATGGAACATGGCTACCATATTCAATAGCTGTTTAGAAAGGAGACAACTTGCACCTGCAATTGTAAAAACATGAGGCATTCCACCAATGACCAATGTTAAAAAAAAGGTCTAAAATAAACCAACCTTTCCTTATATGATACTCTCTCTAAAACTAAGAGCTAGCATTAACTACAATGGAAAAATGCTCTAGGCCTTTCCAACAATACCCGCAGGAAAGCAAGGGCATCCAGGGTCACCACCATTACTTCCTAGACAGACAGATACAGCGATTATATTTGTGAATTCATGGAAATTCCTTCTACCAACCCACTTCTATCAAAGCACCTTGGGATCTAGTCCCCCGATTTCATTGATTTTATTTCCTTTCTCTAGACCCTGTACTGATCTGAAGGCTGTTAGAAGACTGTTCTCTCCAGCCCCCTCTGAAGCCAATTTCCTAAAAGAACCTCCTGGTTCTTCATAAACATGTGTCTGGGGATATGTGTTTCCTCATCCTGATTTGGAAGCTATCTTAGAGGGGTGGGCACATTCCTCTCTCAGGGAGCAGGAGTGTCTCGATACAAATGAGTACATTAGATACACCCATATTTCAGCCTGCTCATTCCGTGGTTGTTTTTTTTTTTTCCCCTTAAAGAGTATTAAAAAAATACCTTTGGCTTCATATTTCATTCATCTCTTCTCCCATGGGATGTGTAGGGGATTCCCTGAACCTCCTATCACTTCTGGGGGAAAGTGATGCTTTTCAACAGCAACATCAAAGCATCTACATTCTATATAATTATTCATAACCTTGATTGCTGGCAGTAAAACATGGCAATAAATAAAGACCCATTTCAAAAGAAGGTTTTGCTTATTTGGCAGCAACACTTTTAATGACTTTGAAGCAAATAAAACCGAGAGTTAAAAAGTGGAATGATCAGCAAACTGGCTTGCTGAATTATCCTCCCAACTATTAACTAGCAAGGGCAGGCCAATCTTGGCACTTCTTTTTGGCCATTACTGACATTTCTTTCCTCACCAAAGTTGTCACACAAACAGGTGGCTTTAGTACCCTTAGGGAGAAACAGTTTAAAAAAAAAAAAGGCAAATACTAGGAAGGCAAAAGGGGAGAGACAAAGACCAGGGTTAATGAACCACTGTGCCTTCATGCTGGTAACAGCCAAATGAGCGTCCTCGCCACCTTCACACCTGGCACTCCTACACAATGTGCAGGCGGAAAGGAAGGTTACAACCGAAGTGGTTTTGCAACTTTAGAATTTTCTGTGGCTGGTCCCACTCAACACACACCTGAGTGACAGCGGCCAGACCATTGGTGTCCATCTGGAAGAAAAGTCCTGACATGGAAGCAGCACTGAGGGTTGCTATGAAAGATCCACCTTGGGGAACCACAGGCAGGCCAGCTATTAGTGAGCATGTGTTTGAGTCACAGGGGCACGGATCTTAGAGCCAGAACCAAAGGGTCAGAATCTCCCCATCTATTGTCAAATATGCTCCTTCTTTACAACATATTAGCAAATAAAAAAAGGATTAGATTTTGTACCTTCAGCTTCACTGCAGCAAGTAATAAAGCCTCAAGCCTCGTTCTCCTCATCTTGAACCTTTTCTTAAGCCATAATCTTCAACACAGAATTAAGAACAGAACTACAGTTATCAGCTGGCTGTTGCTCTTCCTTATGACAAAAATTATTCCATCCACACTATTGACTAGAGAAATGCAAATCAAAACAACTCAGAGATATCACATCACACCTAGATTGGCCAACATGACAAAACAGGAAAATGGTAAATGGCGGAGAAGATGTGGGAAAACTGGAATACTAACGCATTGTTGGTGGAGTTGTGAACTGATCCAATCATTCTGGAGAATAATTTGGAACTATGCCCAAAGGGCTATAAAAACGTGCATACCCTTTGACTCAGCAATAGCACTCCTAGGTCTGTGTCCCAAAGAGATAATACAAATGGGAAAAGGACCCACATGTACAAAAATATTTATAGCAGTTCTTTTTGTGGTGGCAAAGAATTGGAAATTGAGAGGATGCCCATCCATTGGGGAATGGCTGAACAAGTTGTGGTAGAGAATGTAATGGAATACTATTGTGCTATAAGAAATGATGAGCAGGTGGACTTCAGAAAAACCTGGAAAGACTTGTATGGACTGATGCTGAGTGAAGTGAGCAGAACCAGGAGAATGTTGTACACATTAACAGCCACGTTGTGTGATGACTAACGTTGATAGACTTAGATCTTCTTGGCGATGCAAGGATCTAAGACATCTCCAAAAGTCTCATGATGGAAAATATTATCGACATCCAAAGAAAAAACTAAGTTTGAATGCAGATTGAAGCAGACTATTTGCTATTTTTTTTCTTCTGTTTTGTTTTATTTCCTCTTTCTGGTGGTTCCTCTATTGGTTCTGATTCTTCCTTACATCACTAATGTGAAAATATGTTTAACAGGAATGTATATGTATAGCCTATAGTCTTGGGGAGGGAAGCGGGAAGGAGGGGGAGAGAATTTAAAACTCATAAGCTTATAGAAGTGATTGTAGATAAATCAAAATAAATTAATAAAAATAAATAAATAAAATAATTCCATCCAGCAGTTGGAGATGTGAGGCTGGGCATCAATGGAGAGATTAAGTCTGAGTATAAAAACATGGAAGCCAATTGCAAAAACCTGAAAGCAGGTGAGATCACCACTGACAGCAGAGAGCACAGAGACGGGAAACACCAGTGTAGGCTGAAGTGAGCCAGGGCAGGTTGGTAGAGATGCCCATGTTTAGGGAGAAGGAAGTCTCGGAGGGGAAAAGTGGGCTGAAGTCAAAGGAGGAAGGTGGGTGATGCAGGCAGAAAGGCCAGGAGGATGAGAATGCAGAGGAGGTCATAGAAAGAGGCCATTAAGAAGCCATTCATGGAGAGGCAGAGTGGTTTAAGGACACAGTGCTGGAGTCAGGCAAACTGGAGCTCACGTTCTGTTGCAGGCACCAATCTGCACTGGCAGGGGGAGGTTCTTTACACCAGTGAAATCACGGGTCTGGACCAACAAAAGCAAACACAACATCAGTCACTGGACGTTTCAGGGAGTGGTGGGCTAGACAAAGCCTGAGTGCACAGAGGAGTGGCATGGATGGATGGCCAGAAAGGAGAAGGAGGAAGCACTTGGGAGGAGAGATTGGGAACTCTGATCAAGGGCACAGCGAAGCTGGGGTAAAGTTGAGCCCTGGGGAAGGAGTCCATTTTCCTCTTTGGCTCCTTCCATCTCGAGGCAGTCATTGACCTGGCTCCCCTCCTGACACGGCCCTGCTGGCCACCCTTTCCAACACTGGCTGCCCCTTCCCTCCTTCCTCTCTGATCAGTGGGGGAAGGGGCATTTGGAATACTTGCTCCTTGCGGCCTCTTCTAGGTTCTCCACCTACCCCTGTCACTCGATAGCCTCTCCTCGGAGGGCCATGTGCTCCCCACCAAAATCCTGGAAGCTATTCTCTGCAGACCTCCAAGACACCCCTCTCCCCTCCTCAGCAAGCTCAGCATCTGGCTCATGATCTTTGCCCCCCATCCTGGGGGGCTTCAGCACACACTATGCCACACCCTACTCACTTCTCATGATCTACCCTTCCTACCTTGGCCACAAAGATGGTCACAGACCACACCCACAGATCAACCACAAATGCACCAACTCTATGTTCAAAAACTCTGAAATCCCCTTATCTGACCAGGCTTTTATCTGCAGCTTTTCCACCTCTATCTCAGTCTCTCTTTACCAAACCCTCCTC